CAGAAATGTGAAATAGGTTTCACTAGGCCCAAACTAAGTTGTTGGCAAGGCCATATTCCCTCCCGAGGAGTTCCCTCCATGCCCCACCTGCTTCTAGAGCTGCACTGCTTGCATTCCTAGGCTCATGGCCCCTTCTTCAATCCTCCAGGCCAGTGGTGGAGCTTCTTCCAATCTCTGCTCCATCTTTCTATCACCACCTCTCCTGTGTGTTGAATCTCCCTCTGCCTCCTTGTTATTGCATTAAGACCCACCTAGATTATTCAGGATAATTTCAAGGTTTTTAGTTTAGTCACATCAGCATACATGTTGCCATATAAGGTAACATTTACAGGTTTCAGAAATTAGAACCTGGATAGCTTTGGGGGCCATTGTTTAACCTACTAAAGGAGGCTTGGACCAGGATAGGATCAATGAAAATGGTGAGAAATCAGCAGAGTCTTGGATTTGTTTTGAAGACAGAGTCGATTGGGTTACCTTACAGATTGAAAGCCAGATGTGAGAGAAAGAGAGAAATCAAGGAAAATGCCATTGTTTGGCCTGAGCTATTGTAAGAGGAGAGTTTTCAGTTACAAAAGTGAAAAAGACTGTAGGAAAAGCATTTCCTTTTGGGTGGAGGGGATTGACTGACCAATCGATGTCAGAGGACATTTTGGACATTTTAGGTTCGAGATGCCCCATCCAAGTTAAATATTGAATGTTGGCAAGGCTGCTGGATATATGAGTCTGAACTTCAAGAGAGAAGTTTATATTGGAGCAATTAATTTTGGAGCCATAAGTGTGACTTTAAAGCTTTGAAATTGAATGAAATTTTCAGGGTATGAGTATAGACAGAAAAAAAGGAGGTCCCAGGGCTGAGGCCTAGGGACTGCAGTGGTTCAAGGTCAGGGAGATGAGAAAGAACCAGCACAGGGAGACCATAAAAGAGCAGCTGGTCCTGGAGGCCAGCAGGAGGCAGGAGATGTACACTTAAGAAGAGCTTTGAGCCAAGGAGCAGCATAATTCGACTTATGTTTTCACGTTATTGGTCTAGCTGTTGGGAAGAGACTGAAAAAGACAAGAGGAGAGAACAGGGAGACCAGAGTAATCAATCCAAGTGGGAGATGATGGAGATGAATTCGTTTTCCATTGCTACAAACTTGATGGCTTAAAACCACACACACGGATTCTCTTAAACTTCTGGAAGCCAGAAATGTGAAATAGGTTTCACTAGGCCCAAACTAAGTTGTTGGCAAGGCCATATTCCCTCCCGAGGAGTTCCCTCCATGCCCCACCTGCTTCTAGAGCTGCACTGCTTGCATTCCTAGGCTCATGGCCCCTTCTTCAATCCTCCAGGCCAGTGGTGGAGCTTCTTCCAATCTCTGCTCCATCTTTCTATCACCACCTCTCCTGTGTGTTGAATCTCCCTCTGCCTCCTTGTTATTGCATTAAGACCCACCTAGATTATTCAGGATAATTTCAAGGTTTTTAGTTTAGTCACATCAGCATACATGTTGCCATATAAGGTAACATTTACAGGTTTCAGAAATTAGAACCTGGATAGCTTTGGGGGCCATTGTTTAACCTACTAAAGGAGGCTTGGACCAGGATAGGATCAATGAAAATGGTGAGAAATCAGCAGAGTCTTGGATTTGTTTTGAAGACAGAGTCGATTGGGTTACCTTACAGATTGAAAGCCAGATGTGAGAGAAAGAGAGAAATCAAGGAAAATGCCATTGTTTGGCCTGAGCTATTGTAAGAGGAGAGTTTTCAGTTACAAAAGTGAAAAAGACTGTAGGAAAAGCATTTCCTTTTGGGTGGAGGGGATTGACTGACCAATCGATGTCAGAGGACATTTTGGACATTTTAGGTTCGAGATGCCCCATCCAAGTTAAATATTGAATGTTGGCAAGGCTGCTGGATATATGAGTCTGAACTTCAAGAGAGAAGTTTATATTGGAGCAATTAATTTTGGAGCCTTAAGTGTGACTTTAAAGCTTTGAAATTGAATGAAATTTTCAGGGTATGAGTATAGACAGAAAAAAAGGAGGTCCCAGGGCTGAGGCCTAGGGACTGCAGTGGTTCAAGGTCAGGGAGATGAGAAAGAACCAGCACAGGGAGACCATAAAAGAGCAGCTGGTCCTGGAGGCCAGCAGGAGGCAGGAGATGGGGACTGGGGGGGCAGGGGTGGCAAGGACAGCTAAGGCCCTGCAAGGTGAAAGGCACAGCTCACAATTCTTGCTGGTCCCTCTCCCTGCCCCAAACTCTCACAAAGATGCCCTCATGCATGGAAATCAAGCCCAGTGCCCTACAGCTGGCCAAAGGAGCAGAAAATGTGCACAGTCTCTGGCCTAACCCCCAGCAGAGATGCTACTTGGATGAGGTAAAGCGGTGTGTCTTGTCTCCATCACCCACTTGTGATTCTCAGGGGGCAAGTCTGTCACCTGTTTCTGGAAAAGAAAGATGCCTCCAGCAGCAAGGGCTCCATCTGCTTGCCACCCCCTGAGCCGCCTGGCACTGTTACTGACGGGGGCTCAGATCATTAGTTCCTGAGTGAAGAGCAGCAGCTGCTCTAATGTCACCCACAGGGCGAGTCCCCACAGGATCTGACTGCCATTCTGAGCCATCATTTTCATGCCTTAAACCAGACCACGCACTTCACAGAGCCCCATTATTTCACGCATCTCATATATGAAACATCCATCAAGTTCTCAGAATCAAATTGAAGGCATATCCTACATGATGTACCGTACACCAGATCTCTTGAAACACCTACAGAGCAGGCAGTTTGAGGAATCTCTACATATACCAGCTTGGATGGATTCTTCTCTTCTCTGTCTCTACCCTGCAACTACCCCTGGAGTTTTAATTACACCACTGGTTCTCAGGCTTGGTTGTTTATTGGAATAATCTGGAGAATAAAAAGCAATTGATGCCTGGGTCCCATTCCCAGAGATTTTGGTGTAATTGATCTTGGATGTGAGCTGGGCTTTGGGACTTAAAAAAGCTCCCCAGGTAATTCTAACAAGCAGCCAAGTTTGAGAACGAGTGCCTCAGATTATCTTCTGAGTAATAAATCCTAGTGCAGTATTCTAAAAGCTATGGCAGAGGCTGAATCTACCTACAACTCACTGCCCTGTCTCTCCCTAACATTCCTGATTCATAGGACAAACACTCAGTGCCCATTTACACAATCTGAATACCACCGATAGCTGCAACAAATTATATTGTCCTGTGTCTCCCAAATGGCGTGATCCGGTGGGGGCTCTGGTCGTCTATACTTGGATTGCTTGCCCCTGGAGCAGGTCTTGCTCAATGAGTTGCCCTGCACAGTAGCAACATGCTTCCCCCTCATCTCTGCACAACTTCCCTCCTAGGGCACCGCCAGCCAACTTTTTAGTACAGCAACACCAGAGTTCCAGTTGCAAGCAATGCGACAAGTAGGGTAAAGGTGGATGGAAATATCCGAGGGTGTGGATGAGTTCCTGCTCATGCGCACATGCGCATACACACACACACACACACACACACACACACACACACACACACACACGCTGAATCAAACTTGGAAGCAGAAATCTACTGGTACAGAAGTCCCCTGGTAGAGAAGAAATGGCCACAGTGCTCCATAACGTCTGTGTTTACAGCCCTCATTTGGAGAATTATGGGGTAACCCTGGGTCCCTTGCTGTCAGAACAGGGCTTGGCTCAAATGAACTGCACCACTTAGAAGCCACCTGCATCCCCCTTTTTCTCACCCCATCGGAATCCTTAACTGGCAAGATCCAAACAGTAAAATGTCTGGGCTAGATTCAAGTATATTAAATGCCATAACTTTCAGGCTCTTTGGAAATAAAAATTGGCATGAGTTTCCAGAAAGCAAGGTGGTAATATGTCTCAAAAGCTTGAAATATGTCCAGTTCATATCGTTTCCTCCAGTTATTTTACTTCTTATCCTACAGGAATCATCAGCAATGTGGTAAAAGAGTTATGTATGAAGATCTTTAAGAGAGCATTATGTGTAATTGCAAAAAATCAGAAGTAACTGTACACTTTCTATAGTGCAAGATTGGTTTACTATATCATGGTATATCATAGTACAGACAATGAAATATACATAGTGTTAAAACAATATTTTCAGGTAATTTTGGACAATGTCAGAAAATGCTCACAATATAACACTAAGTGAAAAAAAGAAATAAACAGGTAAAATGATTAATTTCGCAATTTAATCCAATTGTGGATATATATACTTATTTGTAGAGAGGAAAACACTGCCCAGAAATACATGATGTTAACAGTAGTTATCTGGAGTATATGGTTGTGATTGATTTTCCTTTTTTTTACCCTGAGTTTCCCAAACTTATATTGTGTTTACAATCAGAAAAAAAAAAAAGTTATTCTTTAAACATAAAAGTTTCATTTCTCATTATGGCAGCAAGCTTCTATCAGAGGCTGATCTCAGAAATGACCCCCAAATCTCCCTGCTGTCACTGCCTGTGTGCACACTGATGCATTCCAAGCCCTGCCCAGCTCTTCGCTGCCCTTGAGTCCCACAGCAGCTTTCACCTGGGTGAGCCAGGAAAACTCTCCAGCCACCCCCTCAGTAGTCCACCTGGAACCAGGGGTATGCTTGTTGAGCAATGGGTTCTGTCACCCATGGGAGTGTCTACCAGGTAAGGCCTCTATGTCATTCATGCTACTCTTCAGCATTATGAATTCAATAGGAGCTTCAGGAACTGGAGAGATCTTGCCCGGACATGTAGGAGAACATTTATTCATTCGGTCTCAAGGTATTTATTAAGCTATCTTCTGTGTGCCAGGCAAAGTTTCCACTCATTCCACTAACACTGTTACAGTTTGTTACTTGAACTGAAGGGGTTGACTGACAGGCCTAAGGCAACTTTAGGACCAACGTTTGGGGTTCCACGTGGAAGAGAACTCCCCACTGCTAGATAGTTGGTTGGTAGGTGTTTGGAATCATGGTTTCAGCAAAGGGCATGGTCTCGCTCTCTCTTTCTTCAGATGGAGGTGATCGTGGGGGATTTTGGGATTGTGGTGGTGCCCCGGGACGCAGCTGACACAGACCAAATCATGAATCACTCCTCAATACTCCGCAAATACAAAGTGAGTCCTCCATCTCCCTGCTCACGTAGCTCTGAGATACCTGGGGGCTGGAGGAGGGAGGGCACAAAAGGAGTTTCGTGTGAGGGGCTAGCAATCTCCTCTCTCTGCTCTACCCCTAGAACAACATCATGGTGGTGAAGGATGACATCAACCATCCCATGTCTGTTGTCAGCTCAACTAAGAGCAGGTACGTTTTGACAAATGCTGAAAGACTTGGTCAAACCAGCTTATAAGTTTCCATATAACTGTCCTCAGTTGAAGCTGACTTAGACTGGCCTCCACCTGTTGCTCTGCTACTCAGCTTCTTTTTGCCCCCAATCATTTCCTTTCAAAAGGGGGATAAGCCATTAGACAGCATTAGCTGGTTTGAGGAGGGAAGAAGATTTTTTAGTCCCAGACTCTTTAGTTTGAGGTGCTTATAGAATACTGTATTAGTAAGAGTATAGGCTAAGCTGTCATAACAAAAAGACCCACCGACCTCCAATACTCAGAGTTTTAAATAAGATAAATTTCTATTTCCCTCCAACTGAAGTCAAAAGGGATTGGTCCTCTGGCCTCTTCAACATGAAGCCTCCATCTCTGGGTCCACAGCTGTTGTAATGATTGTAATGATTGATGTAAGCCGGTAGGAAAGGGCAAAGAGCTCTGTCTTTAATAAGGTGACTCAAAGTTGCACATATCACTTCCCCTTGCATCCCACTGGCTCAGCTTCAGTTACTTGGCCATACTTAGGAGCTTCAAGAGGGGGGATGGATAGACTTTGTAGCTTGGCAGCCATGTGCCCAGCTAAAACTTGGGAAGTTATATTAGTAAACAGAAGAAGGAGAATGGACACCATGGACCAGTTAACAGCCTCCACCACACACCCCAAGTGGAAATGTCCAGTGGGACGGTGAGATATATGGAATATAGGGGTCTAGAGGTATAATAAAACTGAAAACCAGGAGCATATAAATGTAAATTAAAGTTAGAGGCATGTCTTACTCACAGGGAGAGTCAGTAAGAAGAAAAGAAGGCAATGGAGAACTTTTAAAACATTAGCATTTCAAAGAATGCAAAGGAGCAGTCCAAATGGCCAGCCGTGATGGCCTGGGAGGGCACAAAGTTGGAGAGCATTGTCATCTGGATCACATGTTTCTCAAATGAGCCCATGGTTTTTAAATGTCCACTGGACTTCTTCCCTGGACTGTAGGTGATTATGTAGACACTTGAAAGAGTAGCACCAACTGTGAGGTACAAGCAGAAAACCAATGACAGTGGCCGATGAAGGGGATCGGGAAGACTGCGGGTCCACACATGGCCGCACAATAGAATTACCATGAAAACTTACACAGCACAAATACTTGTGTCTGTTCAGTCCCACTGAATCAGAATTTCTGGGCTTGGGCAGGGGTCTGCTCCCTGTATGACTCAGATGAAGTTGGGATTGGCTTTTGGAAAACACGGGTATAGACTACTTCTTCCAGAGGCCACCCTGCAAACTGCAGGGAGGCACTTAATGACCTGGCTTGCTTACTAGGTCAGGACAGTGTCTTCATTGAAAAGGCAGTGAGCCAGCCTCCGGGGAGATCTCAAAGGGCAGGGTTCCAGTGCCTTCCAAAATCTAGGTCTGGAGGAGTATATGAATTTTTACAAACAGCTCCTTGGGGCCTGACATTACCAAGACCATCAAATGAATAAAGAATTGGAAGCAGCCAGACAAAGACTGGAGCAAAACTGTACAGAACCCAAAGTGGATCCTGAAGCCCGTTCGTACCTTAGTGCCTTTCTCCTTGGGCCCCCCAGGGTTTGGGAGAAGGGCCCCAGAGAAGGGCACTTCCTCTGTCAGAGCTCCAGAAGGAAGGAAAAGAAATGGTCAATCAAGAGATTCATTTTCAGGAGACCTGTGCAGAGAAACACAAAGGAATAAAATGAGAATAGCTACCATTCACATTTAAATGCCCACTGTATGCATGGGCTATTCTAAGTGCTTTGCATAATGGTTTATTTAATCCATTTAATCACTGAATGAGGTAGGCTCAAATATTCCCCTCATTTTACAGAGAAGAAAACTAAAGAACAGACTGGCTTCAGTAACTTGCCCAAGGTCCCTCGGTCAGGAAGTGGCAAAGCCAGGATGAAGCGGAGTCGCCAGGATGGCGAAGGAACTACAGGGGCAAGAGGGCTTTTCCTAATAGGAATACCAGTTACATAGCCAAGCAAAGGCAGGTCATGCGGTGCTGGGGAAGCCCTATCCCAGAAAGAGAGTGGGCAGGCCCGTCCTCTGCTCTGCTTCAGGGAAGGATACCGTCTGATTACCCTCTCTTCTCCTCCAGGCTGGCCCTGCAACACGGGGATGGCCACGTCGTGGATTACCTGTCCCAGCCCGTAATCGACTACATTCTCAAGAGCCAGCTGTACATCAATGCCTCCGGCTAGCAGCTACACAGCCCTCTGTTCCACTCTCCCCTCGTCCTCCACCAACACGCTGGCCCCTCGCGTCTCTGTCAGTCCCCGTTTCTCTCCTGCCTCTCTGTTTCTCCATCTCCTCACCTTGACTGTTCTCCCCACTTGCTGACTCACTGCCCCACAGTGTGGGGGACCTGCAGACCACCACGGCATACCCTATTCCACAGTCATCTTTGGACAAACCTTCCCCTAGTCTCTAGGTTGAGGGTGGGTCGGGGAACAGGGTGGGCGCTGGGGGAAGAGCAGCCCTGGGCCATGTGCTGGTGTCTGTCCCCCAGCATGCTCTAGAGAGCGGCTCTGGTGCCCGTCCTCCCAGCATGCTCTGGGGAGGCAGCTCTGGCTCTCGCCTTCTCAGCATGCCCTTTACCACAAAGGGCTACTTTTCTTTATTTCTTTTGTGTTTTGTTTCATGTTTTTGTTGTTGTTCACTCCTCAGAGAACTTGGATGAAATCAGTGTCCTTGGTTCTTTATGTCTTTAGTCTTGATGCAATCCTGTGGTATTTCTTCTCTCTCAATAGGATGCCATAGCAGCCTCAGCACTCAGAAAGTGTGCGAGGGCCACACCCACTGAAGAAGGCCCAGCCACATCCACTTTCCTGAGGCCCCCCACCATCTACCCACACACAGCAGCAGTCTGGGGTCAGGACTGAGATTTTAAGGTTCTGAAACCTAGTAGGATTTCTCAGAAGAATCTCAGCTCATTTCTTTAGTTTCAGGAGACCATTTCCTAATGCCCAGGGACTGTGATCACCCAGAACCAGTCCATCTGCATATCCTGGTGGCGTCTGGACAGTGACTTATTTGGGTTATGACAGATGGCTGACTGTGGGTTCCCTGACAGCCCAGGCATTCCCAAGGAGCCTTCAGAGCACCATCTAAGCCCTTGGAGGCCATACTTAGCACATCCCTGTGTCCAAGAAGAACCACAGAGGCAGGCCAATTCCTAATAGGCAGTCACTTCTGAAATAAAACATGCTAGGGATCCACTCAACCCTACAGATCTTTGCTAACTGGAATTATTTATTGCCTGTTCGGTTGGGAAATGTATGTCATGATGTTAAGACCAGGATGACCTAGGACAAAGCAATTTATTGCCCTGTTGGGATGATTCTCACCCACTCCAGCTGCGGGATCGCGGGTGGGGCCTGAGGCCAGTTTCTCCCTGACAAGCAGTGCCTTGGCCTTGTTTCTGGGGCTGGTCATGTCCCCTGCAGAGCCCAGAAATCACAGCATGGTCTGAGGAAATCTGCCCGGCAGGGGACTGGGTTCCCGGAGCAGACATCATGGAGGGAAAGGCATCAAGAGCCACTAAACCGTTTCATCCATTTTCTCCCTAATGTCCCACCTTCGTCTGCTGCCCCTGCAAACAGTTCAGACAGACTGTTCTAGTTGTCAGGCCTCATTCGTGTTCTTCTTAAGAACCAAAAGGAAATGATTCTCTCACAATCAGTGTCTCTCATCCAGGCTCTCTGGCTCTTGGGTTTTGGCCTCTCTTTGGGGAGTGGTCCCTGAGCAGCAGGGGAGCTTAACCAAAGTCTCCTGCCAGCTGTGGCCCGGGGGTGCTGGGTGAGATCTGACACCAGGGATGCCATTCTTCACCATGCCTTTCACATCAACGTCCTTCAATAGCCTCAGGAAAAGGAATTGGATTCAACAGAAGAACATGGCAAAGTAGCTTCCAGGAGGGTGTTATTTCTCTTGGGTTATGGAAATAATCTCCAGAGTAGGGAAGGAAGATCCTATTCTTGGGTCTCAGTGTTTGTCTAAGGATCATGGAATCATAAATGAAAAAAACTTTAGAGATTAATTGATCCAACACCCTCTTTTATGAGGGAGCGGAGATCCACTGGGTTAAATGGCTGGTCCAAGGTCACAGAGCAAGTGTAGAACCTGGCAAAATGACATTTTTCCCTTGGCCATTAGGTCATCCCACCACATGGCCCCTCTGGTTCCTCATGATGCCAGCCAGGAAACATGTGGTTTCTACTTTTCTCAGCCTTTACCCGGCATTTTTGTCTTAAATTATGTCTGACCCAGGCTTTGCATGTGCAATGCTGGGGGAGGATGGGCTGGTGAGGAAGGCTGTAGCTAGGTAACCCTTAGAAATCAAGAGATCTTAATAGCTTGGACAATACACCCAGAAAGTGAACCTCTGAATCCAAGAAAGAAGTGCTTTGTAAAAGACAAAGAAAGATCCAGAATGCTCAAGGTGACACCAGTGCTGGAGAAAGACGGAGAAAGACTTTGTCCAGGCACAACAGTTGTAAGGCAGGAAATGAAACAAAGGAAAACGGGGCGTTGGATTCTCTGGGGGAACGATGGCATTTTCAAGGATATGGAGTTTATGGATAGAGGTTAGTATGAGGATCCACACAAGCAGAAAGACCAGATGTCTTTTGTGTCTCTGGTCCATTTTGTTACTCTGCTGGACTCTGGGGTCAAGCCCAATTTTGGTCCCCAACCCATGAGAAGGAAGTGAGCTTGCTCCCGTACTCATTGTGGGGCTAGGAAACACGTGGGAGGGGAAAGTGAGATAAAGCTAAGGAAAAGAAGGACAACAAAGTCTATGTCAAGACACAAAAAGGGACAGATCCCGGTAGAGTGCTTTACAATTCACTTTCCTTTAATACAAGGAAGAGTGAATCCCCTTTGGGTAGAATTGTCTATTCCCTACCCTGCCCCATTCTGCTTTTGCTAAGGGGGAGGTCAGAGCCCCTCTCACAGTCCAGGGCAGGACACTGGGGCTGTGACCCTGTTAAGGCCAAACAAGAAAGATGATTCAGACTTTGAAGCTGTGCCCCAAGTACCAACAGGATGACCTCTAGGCCCTGATTTTCCCTCTGGGGTCCTGCTCCTTTCTACAGAGGTCAACCGAAGGCTAGCTTGACTCAGAGATCGTGAGAAAGGCATGGACTGGAATGATCTCAAGAAGGGCCTGAGTCTCATTTCCTGCCTAGCAATAAATAGGGAAGGAAGATCCTATTCTTGGGTCTCAGTGTTTGTCTAAGGATCATGGAATCATAAATGAAAAAAACTTTAGAGATTAATTGATCCAACACCCTCTTTTATGAGGGAGCGGAGATCCACTGGGTTAAATGGCTGGTCCAAGGTCACAGAGCAAGTGTAGAACCTGGCAAAATGACATTTTTCCCTTGGCCATTAGGTCATCCCACCACATGGCCCCTCTGGTTCCTCATGATGCCAGCCAGGAAACATGTGGTTTCTACTTTTCTCAGCCTTTACCCGGCATTTTTGTCTTAAATTATGTCTGACCCAGGCTTTGCATGTGCAATGCTGGGGGAGGATGGGCTGGTGAGGAAGGCTGTAGCTAGGTAACCCTTAGAAATCAAGAGATCTTAATAGCTTGGACAATACACCCAGAAAGTGAACCTCTGAATCCAAGAAAGAAGTGCTTTGTAAAAGACAAAGAAAGATCCAGAATGCTCAAGGTGACACCAGTGCTGGAGAAAGACGGAGAAAGACTTTGTCCAGGCACAACAGTTGTAAGGCAGGAAATGAAACAAAGGAAAACGGGGCGTTGGATTCTCTGGGGGAATGATGGCATTTTCAAGGATATGGAGTTTATGGATAGAGGTTAGTATGAGGATCCACACAAGCAGAAAGACCAGATGTCTTTTGTGTCTCTGGTCCATTTTGTTACTCTGCTGGACTCTGGGGTCAAGCCCAATTTTGGTCCCCAACCCATGAGAAGGAAGTGAGCTTGCTCCCGTACTCATTGTGGGGCTAGGAAACACGTGGGAGGGGAAAGTGAGATAAAGCTAAGGAAAAGAAGGACAACAAAGTCTATGTCAAGACACAAAAAGGGACAGATCCCGGTAGAGTGCTTTACAATTCACTTTCCTTGAATACAAGGAAAAGTGAATCCCCTTTGGGTAGAATTGTCTATTCCCTACCCTGCCCCATTCTGCCTTTGCTAAGGGGGAGGTCAGAGCCCCTCTCACAGTCCAGGGCAGGACACTGGGGCTGTGACCCTGTTAAGGCCAAACAAGAAAGATGATTCAGACTTTGAAGCTGTGCCCCAAGTACCAACAGGATGACCTCTAGGCCCTGATTTTCCCTCTGGGGTCCTGCTCCTTTCTACAGAGGTCAACCGAAGGCTAGCTTGACTCAGAGATCGTGAGAAAGGCATGGACTGGAATGATCTCAAGAAGGACCTGAGTCTCATTTCCTGCCTAGCAATAAAAACATCCCTCCCATTTTTCTGAAAGTGGCTGATGTAAGAGCAAGAGGGAAATCCTTTTTGCGTTAGTTACTCTCTCCTTAAGGAATGGCCCCTGGAGAGATCTGGGGGGTCTGTGCTGCTAGCTGGCCCCTCATTTGCCATCCCCCCACAACCCAGGCAGCCCGGGGGCCTTCTCGCTTTCGTTTTCCGTGAATGTGCATAGGAACAGGGAGGAAGTCTCTTACTGAAGTGCCTGAAACCCAGAGCGAGAGCTTCTAGAGACTGTTCTTCCTGTCTCTCTCCGCTTGGCCAACCTTTCCCCAGTGTTCTCTAGTCTCATGCTTCAGCTTCTCGGAAAGAATAAAAGAACTTGCTACTCTAACAAGTAGAAAGTGAGACTCAAAAGTCAAACTACAACAAAAGGCAGCAAATTACAGGGAGAAATGACATGTATTTTAACAACCCAAATCTACTTTCCCAAATTGATACACACACACACACACTTTCGGGGACTAAGAGAGAGAAGCATGTTATTGTATTTTATTCATCAAAAGAGTAATGCAAAATTAGCAGCAGAACATGAAAAGTGCAGGATCTCTCCCGAGGCTACTGCAAGAAAGCTGTGAGGCGAGATGAGAAGGTTGGAGTCAGGAACTGATTCTGTAGCTCATCCAATTAGGAGACCTTAAGAATGGCATTGTGATAAAGATGATGAATATGCTCTGTGAAATTCATCCAGTCCGCACCTTCCTATAGCTGCCCAGTAAGCTCAGTTCTCCACGTGGTTCCCTGGTTGTGTAAGTTTGGAGCATCTGATTAGCTTGTTCAGGTCAGCCAAGAATGAGTTCTACTCTTTCCCTTCTCCTTCAGCACAGGTGCAGGGCCCAGAACTCAGCTTCATCCAAGCAGTCTCAAGGATTGGCATGCGGAGGGGGAAGCTTTTTTTGAATCACTTTTTGGCCACCGAATCTGCCATGTGAAGAGTGAGATTTGCTTTATGGAAATCAATTCATGAATAAAAACTACATTCAAGTTGCAACACCATTTCACGGTGAAATATTTCGAGTAAAATTTTGTTGCTAGAATAGCCATGGACAAAAGTTTTATCAGCCAAATATTTCAACTATGTTAATAAATAAGACAATGCTATTAGAGTCCCGTGTTTTGGTCTAGAATCTTCTGAGTTGCAGAATTAATCACTTTTTCTTCATAATCTTACTTGACAGGAGCCAATGGTTGGAAAAATGTTCTTAGAGCAGGAGATTTTCTGTCTGATTTAGCTGATGTCATGTGTAATATAAAAGCGCATATATCCATACCCAAGGATCATAAGCAGGGAAAAATAATTAGCAAATTTGTGAATTGTGCCTAAATTTTCTCAGTTTTTAAAAAAATAAAATGTAAGATCCTACCTAATCTGCATAGTCTGGTATGAGTTAGCTTTGGCTCCTTAGTGAAATTAGTTCTTTATGAAATAAAAATATATTTACAAAAATTTAAAAACTTGAATAACTTGCTTTGTGGTATGAAAGATCTTAAGACATTGTTAAGCTCAAATTTTGTTTTGGTAATATCAATAAGCAAAAAACTAATTTGTTAATTGTTCAATCCTGCTGTGACTATTAGTTCTCATTTTATTTTTAGTTGTGACATATGTTACGTATGATTCAGGTCTAAATGGTGATTGTCATTAGCTAATATCAGTTATGGCTCAGAAGGAGCCAGAGCAATTCCCCATTATGCCAGCTCATTTAAGGATTAGCTATGTGTTTGTCAGATTAGTTGTGTTTTTTAAAAGAGTCATCTTTGTTCTTAGTATGTTTTCTGTTTAAGATGGGGATTAGTCAGCTTTGTGTATAACCATGTGGATTTGGTGATACACCATAATTTAGATGCTTGTATAAGCCTTGTAAATTGATTACTTATATTTATGCTTCCTATTTTGGTCACAAAGCTAAATACCATTTTTCTCTGTCCTGAGACTACGTAAATTGATGGGAACTTGTTTAAAATTGGTTATAAACACTGGTTTAATTTGCTAACTTACACTAACTTAAAAATATATTTGTACTACATGTGAATTAACATACATGCACATACACATTTCTTCCTTGATGGCCCCAAAGTAAGCTTCAGCTCTGTGAAGTTCCTAGAAAATTCCATACAGCTCAAAGTATAAAGACAGCAGAGGGGGGAAAACTGCTTTCCAGGTGGGAAAATTGAACCACAGAAGAAATCCACAACATTTTGTTCCACGACCATGCAAAACATGAAGAAGACACAATAAACATATTTCTGGTCCTCGAGACTTGTTCCAAACACTGGACACTATTAAGTATCTTCTTACTGTTTTCTCCAGCCTTCCAAGAGTACTGAAAAGAAACCACATCCTGAGATAAGATCAGAAACACATCTGCTAAGAAGTTATGTCTCTAGGCAGGTCCATTTCTATCGCCCTCTTCAAACAGAAATCCCTGTGAGTCAAAGTAGATGATGATACACGTAATAGGTTACATGGGGCACAATTAATCAGGATCAGAGAAGTACAAGGAAGTTTTCACTACAAACTATAAACCCTGATGAGAAATAGAAAGGAAAGTTCCCTTAACTTGGCAGGGTCAGGTCAAGATGAGTAACAGAGGTTAAGTCCTAGGTGAACTATCTCTAAGCCACATGCCCCTTCTCCCTTCTTAGGGACAATTTGTCAGGTCCTTAGAAATGAGGAAATCGTTTCTATATCAAAAGAGTCACATGAGTCACTTTTCCATCCCCCACCCCTCCCATTTTGCCAGGGAAGGCATTCTTAACAATCTATCCCAATCAGAAATCCTTTCATGATTACACGTATCTTTGTTAGGACTAATGGGATCCCTCACCAAATTCCCTAGAATATGTACTGCCTAATTCTACACATGGCAGAGATAGCCAGTTACTACCTAGGTGTGGAATTGTCACTGACACGTCACTTCCTATGAAGGGACCATATTTCCTAGACCTCTTGCAAGTGAGACGTGGTCATAATACTGGGTTCTGGACAAAAGAATGTGAGTGAAAGAGATGGGCAGCCCCTCCCAGGCCTGGCCTATGAATACTTTCCATATCCCTCCCTTTTCCATGTAATTTTCATCTGGTGATGATCTGAAAATCATTGATGATTCCCACGGCAACCTTAAAAGTCACATGTCAATGGCAAGGCCTTTGGAATAGTTAGGTGGTGGGCCATCCTGCCAACTCTCTCCCTATGCAGTATGTTATGGGAGCAGGAAGAAAAGGCCTATTGTGTTTGCATTATGCACATTTTTAGGTCTGTGTGATACAGTAGCTAATCTAATTAATACAGAGATTTTTCTGGGCTCTGATTGTTAATTACAGTGAGAGATTTGTAGGATATGTGATTGAGTATGCCAAGACAGGATTATAAATTTATTTCCACAAAAGGTAAAGCAAAGTGATCAGATCTGTGTGAATTTGGTGGGGGTCAGTGTGGACAGGGACGGAGTATTTTCCTCAGCCTCTTAAGATAGATGGTCAATTCAGGAGCTTAATTCATTAAATTTTAACTTATTTAAAAGCACGACAATGTACACAGACTATTGATTTTACTTTTACTTTATAGCTGTTGAAAAAAAGACAAAAATATTAATTATAACTCCCACCCTGCTCAGGTCGTTCCAGGAATAAATCCTTCATGCTTAGGAGACAGCACCAGTTAAACCTCATAAAGCATTCTCCCAGCTGGAAAGGGCAGAAGAAGATGCTCAGAAAAAAGAATTAACGATAATAACTCTAGGACTCATTACTCTTTCTGTGGCATTTTGGTTTCCATTGCTTCCATTAGGCACCTTAGGCTTTGAGTTTAATAATTAGAAATTGACCATAGACATTTAAGAATTGTTCTTCATTTAAAAACATGTCCATGAAAAGCCAAGGAAATACAGAAGTGAGGCAATACCAAAGTCTTCCACGCCGAGGTGGAAGTACCCCTGGTTTTTCCAGCAAATTCCCACTGGTGTTATTATGACTCAACAGTCTGTGGCGATCAGTTGTGGAAGTGGGTGGGGATGGGGAGACAGCTGGAATGCAGAGAGCGTGCACCCAAGTTCATCTCGGCTTTGCCAAAACGTAAGTGCCCCCATGGGAGTATCTTGCAACATATGTTCTGTTGAGAAAAGAAATTGCAAACCATGGGATTATTGCAACAAACACTACTTGTGATAAACAAGATTTGTAAGTTTAAAGTTTTTTTCATGTGTGTCTTCCTCACTAGGCAATCAACTCTATGAGGGCAGAGACTACAGTCACCACTGTACCCCAGCCCCTGGCACAGATTAGGTACTCAATAAATATAAGTGGTAAGGACAGATGGAAGGATGCATTCTACCCCACTCAAGTGTGAACAGGAACATTCTCTGGGAGAGAGAGAGAAAGAGAATAGAACACATAAACCCTTGTAATTTTTAGTGTTTGAAAACTGGGATTGAATTTGACTAATACATCTTTTAGGTCATTATACCTTTTCCAACACCCGAGCTACATTTTTCTATCGCTTTGAAACCCCAAAGTAAACACCTTCCCAATGTTTGCTGTGCTGGTAGGAAATGCTTTAATAAAAATGTAGTCCCTACAGTGCCATGGAATCCATCATCAGAAAAAAGGATATCACTCCCAGGCCCTGAAGAATTTGCAGGTAGCAGGGCCCAAGCAGGCACCATGACTCCAAATGGGCCAGCCTCCCAGCCCCTCACTCCACTCCTTCACTGCTCACCTCTTCCAGCTTGAAAGCGGAGTACATTTTGACAAATTGGGCAGTAAAGGGGAGGTATTCTGGTCAACAAGAAACTTGCATTGCATACTATGAGGCAATAGTATTTTACTGGCCACAGTATGACTGGACTTCACTCTTGGTTGTGACATTAGGAAGAATTTTATGGTGGGCAAAGTCAGAATTTTTCCCTTTGTTCACATGACTCAACAAATAGGCTGACTGTAACCCAGCAGCGCTTGTCCACGCTCCCGGACTCAGTTTACGAATACTCTGAGGCAAAAATTGGCCCATGCAGTTTGTTCTTCCATCCAGTCTACCCTTTGGGGTCCAGGCCCTGATCAGTCTCACACCCAGTGCTATTTGCCCCATTGCCCAGCATCGGGAAGCAAATAGTATCACACCTGTGCCATCAGACATTTATCAGGCCCAGGTCTCAGGGATGGGATAAGGTTCAGTTGGCTTGAGCACGCCCATTCAACATGTTCAAATGTCCCCAGCCCACCCCACCCACATGAGACGGCTCCTGAGCCTTGAGGCGTGTATGAAAAACCTTAGTTGAAAATCTTCTATAGCAGCTTCACTGTTGCTCAAGAGCTTGGGTATTGTAGCAGCCTGGAGGCAGGTTGTCTCTGATGTTCTCCAGGTTCTTCACATCAGCCAGAATCCCATCTATTCTCATCTCCAGCAACTGGAGGTGGCCCCTCTGCCAACGTGCCCTCTCTTCTAGCTCTGACACCAAGGGCCGCAGCTGGCTGTTGACCTGTGTCTTGGCTCGGAAAAGCTTCTGCTCCAATAAGATCAGCGCCTCTTCATCCACACTGCCAGGCTGGCCTGTTTAAGGGGATAAGAAAGGAGTTACTACAGAAGAGCTGTGGTTAGATCTCCTTGAACACAAATGGGCCCTCCTGTACACTTAACTAAATCTTGCTTCCATCTGCCCAGAGCATGTCATGCATTCAAAAAGCTTGTTTTCAATTAGAAATAATATAGAAAAAATTTTGAGAGCTCTTGCCTAGTAACTGGGCTGTGAAGGAAGCACCCAGTTCAAGCTTCTGAGCTCTGTAGGATAGCGATATGCACCTTGGATTTCTCCCTTCATGTTAGGGTCAAGAGTTCATGCTCTGAAAAGATGAAGGCTGAAGGGCATAGGGGACTGAGTATTGTCCTAGGTGTCTGCCCAACACAGCTCACTCTGGGATCAGAATCAACTCTAAATTATGTTTTCTGAACCACACTTAGGAAATATCTTGCTATTTTCCATTAGAAGACCTTCAGAAACTGGCTGGGTTTCAGGGTTTATAGAAGCCAAGGTATGCTTTGCTATTTGGGGGATGGATTCCAGCTGTTGGGAAGTGATGTGAGACTTCATTCTGGCCTGAAACAGTGGGAACCTGGCTAGATACTGATTTATTTCCATTATGAAATGTAGTTACATTTGTTCAAGTATGTTTTACCCATAAACAACCTAACACTAATGTCAGCAAGAAGGGCACCTGGCCAGGCCTGTTTGGTTTGAATAGGTTTGAGCAGCCCTTGGTCAATTCAAATTCAAGGTTAGGTTCTTCACAGATCCAAGCTGTAGTGATATAGCATTTGACAATAATAACAACGATTAAACTTTTATTATCCCAGGACTCAAGACAGCATATAGAGTAGAATCAACACCATAACAAAAATGTTGAGCTAATAGATCTGCCTTCACCTGAGGGCAGGGGAGAATTCAAGAATTTAGGGTTCTAACACATACTAGGAAAGTTAAGTAAGTTGGGACAAAATAATCATGTCCACGGAGAGGCAGCAGGAGCTGCTCAAAAATAGCAGGAGTGTTGGAAACAAAGGATCTCTGTTTGAATCCATAATTTACTTCACTATCTGTAGGACATTATTAACCTCTCTGAGCTGTCAGTTTACTCCTCTGTGAAATAAAATAATAAAAATAATAAAACCCACCTTGTAGGACCTTTAAGAGATTTAAGTGATATTACACCATGAAAATGCCCGGCACAGTGCCTGACACATAGTGAATATTAATAGTTAGAACTTGTCCTCCTGGCCCCACTCTCATTTTCTCTTTAAAGGCCCTAGTGATTTCATTACCTTTTTCAGAACACTAAACAAAGCTGCTGAAATCTCAACTGTCCAGCATTCTTTATCCTTAGAAGGTATTTTACTCTTTGAGGCTCATTGGACCACAAAGCGGACCCATTAGTATAAGAGAGACACTATTGATTTCTCAGGGTGATGATAATGCTTCACAGAAAAATCAGGTTTTACAGTTGTTCTACTGAACTGAAAAAGTAGAACCAAGCCTTTTCCGGAATGTTGCTGGAACCTATCAAGATTGTTGCATCTCTGCTATAGTCCAAGCTTGATAAAATAGGCCATATGAGGGTTTGATATCAGTTCTACTAAATCCTAAATTTTAATTCAAATCAGTTTTTTTTGGTAGGGAAGGATTCTGTGTGGAAATCAAAGTCATTGCCACACTGTGCTATCAAATCTATTTCATGGACCTATTGCTTATAAATTTCTTCTGGGTTTTCCTACAGGTATCTCAAGTTTCCACAACTGGTTATGTCAAGGTAAACTGTGGTTTGGGGAGGGACAAATGGCAGAATCAGCAACTGATTCTTGACTGCACTGACTGGCCCCCCCAACAGCATTTCCGCTTCCTCACAGAAGGCTCCCTCATCTCAGCGGCTCCATCGATCTCCTGAGTGGGCTCAGCCCTCCTTTTGTCCACCTGTCCTTCAAGCTCTCCTCCACTCAGCTGCCCTAGTGATCATTCTGAAATGTACAGTGATGATGTTATTCCTCTGCTTGGAACTGCCCACTAGCTTCTCAGGAGCAAGACCGGAATCCTTAGCAGGACTGCCAAGCTATCCGTCTAGTCTTCTCTTTAGCTGTGAAGTTTGAATCCTGCCTCCACACAATTTACTGGTGGTCTTCAAAACATTATTAACCTCTCTGAGCCTCAATCCACCTTCCCTAAATATACCCAGTTCTTTAACCTACAGACTTTCACCTAAAGGGCAATAGATGCTCAGTGACCCATCTTAGAGATAGTAAAACAGAGTCCAGAAAATGTAAAGGGACTTACCCAAAGTTTCCGGGCCTGGAAACAAAGCAAATTTCTGACACACTTAAGGGAAGTTGAGACTCCCACTCACCAGGGTGGGTCTCCTCAGTCTTCCAGGGAGCAGCCCCGAGGCACGGGGCTGGACAGTTACGGGCAGTCCAACATACCTATTAGGTGTAAGATGCTGTCCAGTGTGTTGAGTGTGTCTTGGATCGTAACTCCCGCATTCTTGGCTCTGTTATCAACTCTTTGGGCTTCTGTAATCACCTAAGGAAAAATAAATACAAACCAATCTTGAAAGGGTGTTTCTCACATTGGCAAGTTTAAAGGGATCTCCCGTGGACAGCAAGGGAAACTGTACCGCGTCCAGGTCGGTGTCTGGCTCTTGCTCCCTCCGTTCCAGCTCTCCTTCCACCTCCCTCACCCCGCTCCTCAGAGCGGCCAGTCCCTTCTCCATGGCCAAGGCTCCATCTGCTGTCACGTTGGCTTCCAAGTTCAGAGTCTCTATCTCCTGGGAGAAGAAAGGGAGCCAGGGACGGAAGGGGAAACAGGGATGAGCACACAAACATCCCAAAGACAACTGCAGAAAAAATACAGCTGCAGCCAGGCCCTGACGCAGGGTTAGATGAACAACGGGAGTCAGGCTTGGGCGGACACACCCTGCCCCAAGCTCTGACTCAAACAAGGAATTTGGGGTGCACCTTTAGGGACTAGGAGGGTCAGCAGTGAGGCACTGCTTCTCCCTCAGGTGAACTCTCACTGAAAGGTGAAAATAGGAACCATTTCGAAAGACCCGGAGGGTAAGAAACTCATTTCATTCTCTGCCTTATTTATTTGCTGCCAATCTTTTGAGTGACTTTGCTAGGATCCTGAGATGTTGAGTTTGGGATAAAGAGAATGAATGAGCTACAGCTGTGAGTTTTGTGTTAGGAAAAACGTTATGTATTTATCAAGAAGCCAATCCCTGTTTCTCTTTACCTGTTCTATCCTGTCACTAATCTCCAGGGCCTCCCTGGCTGCGTTCTTTGCTCTCTGGGCGTCAAGAGCAGCACCTCCCAGGGCTACTTCGGCCTGCTGGGTCTTGTCACTGGCAACTGCAACCTTCTGGCTGATGTAAGGGAGTCTCTTCATGGCTTCCTCAGCTTCTGCTTTTCTGTCTCCAACCTGGAGGTCAAACTCTGAAATGAAGACAAGAAAACATTGCCGCGAAGATGAAAACTAACTTACAAAACGAACTTACAAGTGAAGATCTGGGCTGAATCTTTTACGAAAAAATTCCGGAGTGTTCTTACTCCCTGGGGGCAAGAGTGTAGGAAGTGGTGGCTATTACTGCTCTCTCTTATTCAGGAGAAAGCATCTTAAAGGAGGCATTGAAATGGCCACAATTAGTTCTTTGCTTAGAGAACTGACCATCAGCCTGCCTTGGGTCCCCACCACTGCAAGAAGATTAAGACCCCAAAGTAGATCCAAAGCAGGTGGAATCTTTGAAGCCCAAAGTTGAAACCCTACACTGCTAATGACAGTACGGGTGACCCTTGAGCAATGTGGGTTTGAACAGCACAGGTCCATTTACAGGCGGATTTGTTTTTCAATAAATGTATTGGAAATTTTTTTGGAGTTTGGGACAATTTGTAAAAACATTTTCTTTCTCTAGCTTACTTTATTGTAAGAATACAGTATTGATACATGTCACATACAGAATATGTGTTAATCAATGGCTTCTCATGTCAGTAAGCCTTCCAGTCAACAGTAGGCTATTAGGAGTTAAGGTTTTGGGGGAGTCAAAAGTTGAACATGGATTTGCAGCTGCGCAGAGGTCAGCGCCTCTAACCACAGCGTTGGTCAAGGATCAGCTTAGTTGGAGGTTGGACAGAATGGGTAGAGAGGCTCTATCTTTGAAGAAAATCTCAAGACAAGGAATGTTTCTTTTTTATTCTTCAGTGAATAAGCCTAAAATTTTAACCAAATCTCTGAAGACACAACCCAAATTTCCTGGGCTTTATATGGTATGACAAAGCTTGTTCCACCATCACCACCTAGCAACTGCATTGGTTCTATATGGGAACCTACCAGGCTGCCAAAGAAAAGGAAAAATATCTGTATGGTATGGAATGCTGGGTCTTTGAGGGATCTTAGAGATGACAATTCAACTTCCTCTTTTCCAGAGGAGGAAATTAGGGTCTGGAAAGGCTCTGTGACTTGCCTGTGGTCACACAGCCAGCTTAGATCTGTCACGTGTCCCAGCAGAGGCCAGAATGCAAGTCATCTGACACCTAGTTCAATTCTTGCAACTACATCAAATATTAATGAAAGCTTTTTCTTTAGAAAGGCATTCATTAAGCATCTGTTAATACTCCAATGTGCCTATCACTCAGAGAGATATATGAGGATTCAAAATAAATCAAAGTCACAATTGTACCTTCAAAATATTCAAGTGACCTGAACTGTGAAATTCTTACCTCTGAGGCTCCTTAAGATGTTCTCAACTTCATAAAAAGTGGCATTGCCCATACTCAGTGCTTCTTGGGCTCTACTTTTAGCAAGGTTGGCACGGGAAAGCAGCTGATCTGATTTCTGTGCATAGGCGACAGAACAAGATTACAGAGAATATAACACACACCAAAGAAATGCGTTCCTGCCAGCAAATTCACCCTGACACGTTCCTCTTCATGACAAAAGAATGCTGTGGCTTACCAGAGTCCAGGGGTGCTGGAAGCAAAGCCCCTTACAGTCTGGGCCAGAACAAACTTTATAACCCAACAACACATCCTATATAGAGAACAGTCTCAAACTCTAATCCACTATCTAGGACAAGTACTGTTTTGCAGATCATAATTTTAAATCCTATAGCTAGCTAATGGACAGAGTTAGACCAAACTTGGACTCAAGAGGCCTGAGTGCTATTCTGGGTTTGAGGGCTGACTCAGCGGGTGGAACTGAGCTAATTACATCATGTTCTCTGTATTTCAGGTACTCCGTCTATAAAACAGTGGTACCATGACCTTCAGAGACTTTGATAGTTCCTCTTGACATATTTATTCACGTGGTTTAGGCATTCAGTACATGCACTCTGAGTGAATGAATTAACCAGAGGGTACCTGTCTCCCATTCTTTCCATTCTGTAAGAGCTGCTGTAATTCTTCTTCCCAGTTTCCCAGATTACTCTGCACATGCTTGAACTCATCCATATGCCTTGTCACCAGGCTTGAGAGAGAATCAGCTTTTTGTCTGATCTTCTTCACTTCGACCTGTGAGCCCAAGAAATGAATGAGTTCTGACTTTCTGCTCACCGGTTACCATACCAGCTTTCTTAGGACCTGGCATCATTGTTTGAAAACAATGAAAACCTAGGCCCAAAGTCTAACAGAAATGAGGCAATATGCCTAATCATAGTCAGGAAGCAGGTTCCCAGCATCAAACAGGTTTTGTCTCTGCTTTTTTTTTAAAACATATTAGTTTATCTATGCATTTTTTGGGGGAATCCTTGTGAGTGCTCTTTGCTGTGGGAAGAATGCTGAATTTTCTTAATCCAGTAAGTCTGAAACAGTTAAGGGAACTGATGACAGAAACACTCTAGAAACTTCTGAGAATAAAAGTCTTCTGAATGGCTGTACGTAGAGACATACTATAAATTGGATCCACAGGTTTCAACAGTCCCCAGAACTAAGGAAGAGATATAAGACTTTTATCTACTAATAGGTTCAGGATATGGGCCAAGACCTTTACAGAGACCAAAACTTGGGTTTAAGAATAAAGGATGGATATGAGAAAGATGAATACTCTTCCTAATCTAAAGCAAGAAAGGTCTACATGGAGAAAAAGCTGAATGATTGAATGCTGCTATGCAACCCCACTGAGGAAAGCATTATGACCCTTCTTCTGCATGCCAAGCACGTAAACTAGGTGCCCTCACCTGAAAGGACGGATCCTTGACTCCCTGAAGTTGAGACATGGAATTGAAAAGGCGGAGACTATGCTGATAAGACTTCTCTGCTTCAGTGTCGGCTTCAGTGGCCTCCCTGGACAGCTGCTGGGCCAGAGACTTGCTTTTCTCCAATCTGCAGTGGGGGAAGAGAGAGAAGTTCGAAAATTCACTCTTTTCATTAAAAGTAAAAACTCATCCCATTGTTTTAAAAGTATACAGTTAAAATTATCAGAAGAACCAAGTGAGATTATGTGTCAGATATGTGTTCCTCTCCACAATCTATATATAAGCGTTAAAGTTTATGAAGCTTGGGTCAGAAAAGAATTCAACCCGTTTCCCAATTCTCAATAATAATTGTTACATCCTCCATGCCAACAGATGGGCTTACTCACATCCTTCATCTACCACAGAGGGTGACGTATTTCCAAATATTACAGGCTTGCAATCAAAACACAAACATACTTAGATTAATCAGCCTTTTCTTCTTTCAGCTGTAAAGGCATCTGCTTTCCCCTGAAGTAACACTCTTTTCTCTTTTCCTTCTTATTAATATTTTTTAAAGAAACATGGTGCCTCTCAAATGTGGTTTGCATTATACCCAGGGAGGATGCAGATTATATTGGTTGCACGAAAACCCATTGAAACATACTTTCCCACAAGCTCTTGCACCACAGAGCTGTCCGGACTACTTCCACCTCCTTGACTCAGGGTCTTGCGTGCCAGCGACAGAGCTTGTGTGGAATAGCCCTCGGTTTCCCTTACCAGTTTCTCCATGTCACTGGCTGACTCAACATGGCTGAAAGGATTAAAGGCAAAGGATTAGAGTTTTCATAGGAAAAGGCTTCCTTTAGGCCTTTTATTTAAATGAAGGGCAGGATTGAGGGAACTGGTTTGGCTAGAAAAGACCAATAGGATTGACACAGATTAGGTAGAATTAGAGGAACTTTCAGGAAGCAGAAGGCGTCCTGGAGAAGTAGCCTCAGGTCACTGATCTTTTGGTGACCTTATATTTGTGCCATAATCTGGAGAAGCCTTGGGTGGGGGTGGGGATGGGCAGGAGCTGTCTCGGGGGGGATAAAATATTGCATTTATAAGCTGCTTTCTGCAGAAAGAAATCCCTAGGGACTTTCTGGGACAGGTACTGTTTTGCAAATCATAATTTTAAATCCTATAGCTAGCTAATGGACAGAGTTAGACCAAACTTGGACTCAGGAGGCCTGAGTGCTATTTTGGGTTTGAGGGCTGACTCAGCAGGTGGAACTAAACTAATTACATCATGTTCTCCGTATTTCAGGTACTCTGTCTATAAACAGTGGTACCATGACCTTCAGAGATTTAGATGATTCCTCTTGACATATTTACTCACGTGGTTTAGGTTTTCTTTCATCCAAGATCCAACCCCCTACTCACTTTTGCTGAAACACTAAACTGGGTCCACCCCTGGGGGGACAAAGCCTGTCAATAAAAGTCCCTTGGATGCTTTTGTTCTCCTAGTTCTAGCAAGTGATCAAAACAAGCTCAGGAGGCAGCTCATGCTACAAAATCACAAGCCAGCCCCCTTCCTCTGACTGCATTCCACTTGGGATCAGCAGAGCCTGCTACCCCACTGAGCACTCTCCCGTGCAGACCTCTTCAGCGCTGTAGGGTGTGTAGTCCGGCAAAGACTCCAGAGCGCCTGTTACCACTAAGGACCTGCAGAGCGGCTTTGCGGAGGAAATCCCCCTTCTGCAGTCTTGGCTCCCACAGGCTAGCAAACAACCTGCAGCTACTTGTCTCCAGGCTCCATATGGGAGCCTGGGAGTCCCCTCGAAGCTGCACAGCGTTCTTTTCCAAGGGCTGATTGATTTCATGGGGTCCGAGGCATCACATCTGACAGCCACCAGAGCCATAGAGGAATCTGGGAAAGAAACACCCCACCCAACTCCTACCAAAAGACCCGTGGCCATCTACACACTAATGGCTTCAAGGCAGGGGCATGACTGCAAAGGAGCATGGAGGTAATACACCTGTTGCCCAGGCCCTGAGTACCCTACAGTCTTGTTGAAGTCTGGCCTCTCAGAGATGGTCTGAAGCAGAGCTTCAACTTACCTGTCTGCCAATCTCGCGGCCTCCTGAGCCATACTGTCAAAACCATTTGGCCCCACATGGTGATTTGAGGAAGGAATGTTCTGTGCAAAAAGGAGAGTTGGTTAAGGCTTTGCACTTGGCTACGGAGCCCAAGCTGGATCTGCATCTGTCCTGTCGGAACTGCTTGTCATTAGCCACACAGCATTCTACACATCAGGAGTCCCCAGTCACCATGATCATTACATTAAAAAAAAGATATAGACAAGAATAAAGCGGAAATCCAAGTTCAAAAAAAAAATCTGTATATAGATATAAATGGACTTAAAAATACATACATGTTTATATTTTCACATATATTTAAAGTCCAGTGGAATATATATCAAGTTTTAATGGTGGTTATTTCTTAGGAATGGGCTCATAGGGGATTTTTATGTCTTTGCTAAATTTTCTACAGTAAACATTACTTTTGTGATAAGGAACAAATCGACACATTGTTTTTTAAACCCTTCATCCCCTCCCATAACATCTGATTATCTTCTCATTTCTCTTATTCACCTTCCCCCCATCCACTTATGTTAATGTCACCACTGTCTTCATTACTCAGAAACTGAAGAGCGCCCAAACAGATCTCTCCCTCCTGCCACGCTACAAACACTGTCATTAGGAAAATCACACCGGTGACAATTTTCTTCCCATTTTCAGAACCATGTCTTTTTTGGGCTCCTTCTTTCCTTCCTTCTTCCCACTCTTTCTCTCTTTTCACTTGTTCCTTCATTCATTCATTCATGCAGCAAACATTTATCACAGCCACACAGTGCTGAGGGCTGAGAATGCAAATATGAACCTCTAGGAGGTACGCAGCAAGAAGAGGGAAGAGACAGGGTCTGGAGGAGGATATATGGTTAGCAAGAAACGAACTAGGGAGAGGAACATAATGCAGTAAAATGAGAAACTGCAGGAAACCAGAGAACACAAGAGCAGGTCTGACTGTTTCAAGTGGAAAGGGGCCAGTCATCTGCCAGGTAGACCAGAAAGTCTGAGAGAGAAAGTGAGCCAGTGAGCAATATGGCCGGTGTGCCTCCCCACACAGCAGTGGTTCCCAGCACTGCAACCCAGTGGCACCTACAGAGGTTTGCAGGGAAGCCTCGCTCTCCTTCAGGCTCAGGCGCATCTGAGTGATAAGCCTGTGCGTGTCCTGAGCTCGGTTCTGATACTGACTACCCAGCGCCCGGACTCTTTCCACAGTCATCTTGAGGTCATCCAGGCGGGTCCGGAAGCTATTCTCCTGGCTCCTTGCCTTGGCCAACCGGAGTGTGAGAGATCCAAGAGCACCTGACCAACAAAGAAAAGGAGAATGAGCCCTTTTGGTCAGCATAGAGTAATCCAATGTAACCGAGGACTGAAAAAGTAATTTTGACTAATGTGTGGCAAAATGATTATAGACAATAAATAAATGTATCTGCTCTTTTATCTCCATCATTCAGGTCCCAGGAGAATATCTCAGACAGTCTTTCCACCTCTGCAAGGACTAGGCAGACACCTGCTGGGCTGTCACCTGCAGAAGATTCTATGTCCCAGTAGAGCAGTGCTTTCTAGGACTGTGAACTCGCTCCTATCTAAAGGGAAATTGGCCTTCGTCACCTCCTGAAATCTGGGCTTCTCTCAGAATGTCTTGAAGAGCTCGCTCAGCTTGCCGCATCCTGCCCTCCAGCTCTGAGCTGGGAACTCCTCCACCACCACTCTGAGAAATCAGGGCCTCCAGGCTCTGGAACTGCTGCATAAACGGATCCATCTGAAACCACATAGGAAAGAGGATCAGAACAGATGATGGAGCTCACAGTCGAATACCGGGTACCAGAGATAATAGCTAAGAGTATGGAAATGCTTGACATGACATGGTCATTAGAAGATTAGACTCTAGAGCCTAGACTCTCAGAGTTTGAGTCCTGGCCCCACTACTCACTAGCTGTATGACCTTGGGCAAGTCACTTTATCTACAAGATGGGAATAATAATAATATCTCATAGTTATTACTTGGACTAAACGAGTTAGTATTTGCATAGTACCTAGACTAATGTCTGGAACAAGGCAAGTACTATAGAGGCCTGGTTAAATAGATAAATTTACACATGTTGAATCTGTTCCACATTTGGCATTCTATTTGGGCGTTTTCTCCCCACCCTTCACCCCAGTAAAATAATAATTAACAATTAACAACACCACATCAATTTCATTCTTCTCTGGAATTTGAATTAGAAATTTCTGGAATCCACTCTTGTTTGGGCAGCTTTGATACCTTCTGGACTCCTGAGACCTTCTATATGTTTATTTATGTTTTTCTTCATTTTTTTACAAGGACATCTCAGGGAAAAAAATTCAACTGGAAAGTGCAAGAACATTGAACTCAGAATCAAAGGACATGGGTGAGATTCTGTTTCACCTGGCCATGTGACTTTGAGAAACTGCAAAATATTTGAGACTTTGCTCAGTGAAAAGTGGAGTCAGAATGCTCTTTCTTCCAAGTTGACTAAGTTGTTAAGAGTACCAAATGAGATACCCAAGGGGTTTTGAAAATGGTATATATAAGAACATAAACCAAAAGTATATTCACTATTATACAGAATTTTTTTTATACAGCAACTTTTAAAGCAAGAACTAGTTAGCCCACCCCCACTCCCAGGAGACTAAAAGGGTCCTTGATTTGTGACAAAGTCATCCATAGACACTTGAAGATTTTACTCATGAGGTAGAGGGTTGGTTAGAATGCACACCTGAATCTTCACTTGATTGTAGCAAGCTGGACAGCTGGTTAACGCCGCATGCTCACAGCTGAGGCCACCAAATCCTGGCTTGCAAACACAGCTGCCATCACTTCTACATTCCACAGGCTCTGAGCCCATTGGGTTACAGTTGCAAGCTAGAGACAAAGGACAAACAAGAAGCTTTAACATCAAGGTAATTCCAGAAACTGGCGGTATAGCAAAGATAAAAAGAAGAATCCTTCTTTGCCCTAGATTCACATTGCGTTAGATTCATCTCTTGACTATGCCTTCAAGGACATTCCTAATACAGATAGGTCTTAGGAATCATCTGGCAAGTTTGTTTGGGGTGTGTGTGGATGAAGAGGTACTATAACAGTGCACCCTTTCTGGTGGCACTTATTTTTTTCCTCCCATTACATTGTAAGCCTGTTGGATACTCTGCAGGCATTCTCACTTTGCTCTCAAGGGGGATAGTAATTCTTCTGTGCCTGTCATGTGCCAGGTAATGACATTTCCCACTCTTTTACAGATGATTAATATGAGCTCAGAGAGGTTAAGCCACTTTCCCTAGGTCACACAGCAAGTAAATGGCAAGCCGGCATGAGAACCTGAAAAGAGGCAGTGCTCTTTACCCTCTGCGCTTCTGCCTTTGATATAGGAAATGCAATAAGAAAGCAGTAGCTTTATTCCTTCAATCAAATTGATTGAGTGCCTACAAGGTGCCCTATTCTGTTTAAGGAGGTGAGGATATAACAGTGGAGGAGATACTGCTCTAATGGAATCGTGGTGATTCGCTGGGTTGCTTTATCTCGGGTGCTCACAAAACTCTCGGCACATAGTAACATGATCACAAATCTAAGTGTACTGCTATTATTTGCTTATGTATGTCTTCCTTTTTAGCTTATGAGCTCTCTGGGAGCTGAGACTGACTTATTCATCATTAAACCTTAGCATCTAGGTCCATACTGGGTACATGGTAGGTGCTTGACAAAAGATAGTTGAGTGAAGAAATGTATGGCCTGAAGTCAGTGACACTTCTATTAATAGCACCGTATAGTTAGATTGTAAATTTTACAGTGTACTTTCTATATTCTATTTTGTTTTATCTTTGCAACCACTGTGATCTGAAATTACTCATCCATATGAAGAAACTGAGATTCAGAGAGATTAATGGGCATAATCAGCATAATACAATAGGCATGTTTAAAAGCTGAACTTGAACTCAGGGCATCTGATGTCATGTGGGCTCTTCCTACCATGGGATACTTTCTAGCACATCGCAGCCAGCCTGCAGGTTGGGGTCAGGGCAGGTGGGTTTCATGCCCCTGGGTGGGAACTCTGGGTTGCATGGAGGTCCTCAGGCATTCCCAGGTCTGGGGACTCCCCTGTGAGTGGGGGATCTGGGCTCCCTGAAGACCTCCTGGGGAACCAGGAGTCCTCCAGTTTGGGTCCCCAGAGCCTCTTTGAGTTCTGGGCACCAGGGCTGGTCTGGGACTTTTGTGAATGAGGAGGAAGTCTGTGGGCGGCCCAACTCCCTAGACCTGAACTCATGCCTGCAGTCACCATGCGCAGAGGCTGGAAAGGATTGAAGCGGGAGGATCTGCATATGCATGTTAGATCTGAAGCAGCCCTTAGGACACTCCACTGGAGCTGCTGCTTTGAAGCTGAGACTCCTTAGAAGATGTGACTGTTCCCTGTCCATACGTTGATTATGCTGACTTCCTGAGAGGGTACCTTAAGGGATTCCAGCCCAGCCCCTCCCCATCTCAGTGTGCTTAGTTCAGCTCAGTCCCGAGTCGTTGACTGCTCTCCTGTGACAGGCTTGGCAGCCACTTTCCTGCCAACCCGCCTCGGGTGGGGCACAGGACATGGCCCCACTGGACCTCCTTCCATTAGGAATGAAACCTGGCAGCTTCACTTCTCCCACCCAACGTCCCCCAGCGCTGTCTTCCAGAGGGGCAGGGCAAACTGGCCTTAAGGCCTTTAATAAGTGAACGGTCCAGGCCAGCTGGTCAGAGAAACCGAAGCAGCATAGTGATTTTCTCAACCCTTGGCCAGCTGATTTGCATGTTTGTACCTTTGCACCCACTAGCAAGCTTACGTGTACACACACGACTGGTTCAACCTGTCTGGGGTCACAGTCCTACCTTGACACTTGTCCACTGGGTTCGGAGCCAAGGGATCCCCAAAGTAGCCTGCTTTGCACTGCTCACAGTGGACACCAGCTGTGTTATGGATGCACTTCAGACACCTGCCCGTCAGGGGGTCACAGTTCCCGGAGGCCCTGGGGTCCACATTGTTGTTGCACAGGCAGGGCTGACAAGGCCGCACTGGGCCACGTTCCCCAAAGGGGTCCCCAAAGTAGCCGTCGGCACAGAGCTCACAGCGAGCACCTGGAGGGGACAACACCACATCCAAGCGGTCATCCACCAGCAGTCAGACCAGACACAGAGGCCTAAGGCTGCCCTCTAGCAGAGCTCCCTGCCCTGGGCCCAGAACAGATGCCTCAGGAGCAGGTGTCCGGGACAAAGGGTTGGATCTTGCACTCCACCGTGGCCCCAGATTTTAGAACACAGCGGCTCCCCTAGGAGGCGTACTGCCAGTCAAGTAGATGCCTGGGGAAAAGTCAGATTTAGTGCCATGCCATCAAGGCTGCTGCTGAGGAATTAGCTCTTCACCCAGATGGACTGGCAAAGAGATACGACATTTGCAAGGTCACTAAGTTTCCCTTCTGCACCTTGGTTCTTTTTTTAAAACTTAGTTAAACCATGTATTTCATCTGAAAACACCTTCTTCTACTTGCAAACCTCCTAAAACAGCTTTTGATGTTTCCTCCCATTGTATACTCTGTCCTTCCTCAATCTGCTTTACCTCTCCGGCATCAAAATAGTCATCTTCAGAATGAGCCCATTTAGATTAACCCTAAGTAATTATAATTCCCTAGAAATTCCTTGGAATAGAAGCTGTTTATGTGAATTCACGGCATCGGGAGAGGGAAGAGCAGGTGCTGGCCTTACCAGTGACCCCCTGGGGGCAGTTATTGCACACCACCTCCTCTGTCTCAGGCATCACGGAGCAGCTGAACCCATTGCGACAGGGGCAAGGCTGGCAGCTGCGGGGGTCATGCGGATCGTTGTAGAAGCCAATGGGGCAGTCGGCACACTCAATGTCAAGATTTTCATCCCCTGAGTAACAATCTCCTGGGAAGCAGAGGAAGAATGGAGGTGCAGAGAAGTGAGCAGGGTAAAACAATACACTTCCTTCAATATGGATGGTATGTGGTGGGCAGAGCTCAGCAACTCAAAGCCTGCCTTTCTGAAGCGTTCCCCAGTGTCCAGCACTGGCATTCACCTTTGTCCTGACACCAACTCTAAACGTGGCCACGACCCTGAATCTCACCCTCACTCTCCCATGCTAAGCAGACGTACACTTCCGTGTCCCTGAGCTCACACTGGTCCCCTGTTCCCATGGCCTGACACCACTGGAGGGCACATTCATTCAGACACTCACATTGCCTTTGATCTCCCCATACAATTCTTGCAACTCAACACCAGCTCCCCCACCCCGCACTGAACCATGACAGCCATTTCCTGTAACCTAGCACCTTTCTCACAACCCTGTGGCATTTCCATAATGAAAAGGATTGAGTGTAATAAAGCACTGTGTTCGTCTTCCCTGACTCCAGCGCTGCTTTCCTTAATCCTTTCCCATCTCTGAAATGAGTTCAGGCACGGTCTTTCTTATGCAGCTCTATTTGTCCCACAGGAGACCCCAGACACCTGGCTGCACCCCCAGCCACCTGGCCAGGTGTCGTCTCACTCACCTGTGTCTGGATCGCAGGTCCCTCCCCCTTGGCAGTTACATGGAACACAGGTGCCAAAAGGTCCCAGTCTGGCTGAATCTCTTTTGTAGCCAGAAGCGCAATCCTGGCAGAACTGCCCCTTGTACCCAACAGGACATACACATTGTTCAACCCAAGGTGCTGGAGCTCCGGAGATGGGGCGGGCTGAAATCAATGTCACGTTGTCAATGTACCCAGTGCCTGCAGTAGAGAGAATAAGAGGGAAGTAGCAAGTGGTAAGGTCTAAGCATCTAATGTCAGACCTCTCTTTGGACTTTATTTCTCTTACCTCCCTATCAAAGACAGGTAGTGCTCACTATGTCATGTGTAGAGGTATAACAGTCCATCATGATGGAGCACACAGGCTCTGGTGTGAGGAAAATCAGAACTTTAATTCTAGCTCTACCCTCACCAGCTGTGTTAACCAGGTAAGTCACACAATTGTTTCATGATTGAGTTTCCTCAACTGTAGAAGAGGTGATGGTGGTATCTACCTCCTATGTTTGTTGTGAAATTAAATGAGGCAATGCATATATTGTAATGTGCCTGGCATGTAGTAAAGATTCAATAAATTATTCAGAAACACCTTTTCTACTTCCTGCTTTACTCACTGCATTTGTGGCCCGGAAATGGTGCATGCCAGCCAAGCTTCCTTCATACATGAGTACTAAAAAATTTAAGGAGCTCTCATTTAAATAATTCCAATTGGGATTAAGAGTACCCAACATATGAAGTTCAATAAAAGGAATTAATAGAATCCATGGTGATGCGCAAACATGGTGGCATTGAGTGTAATCCTAAAGGAAGCTCTACTCAAGGAAGAGGGCCTTGTAAATGCCATTTCCTAGCTAAGGGAGCATGCCTGTTTGTTATAGGTGGTTTTCGGCTAGTAATCAGCTTTCACTTAATTCGCAGACTCTTTTAAGCAGGATAGCATCATTCATTTTTCATTAGTGCTTGCCTTTTTTAGAGAAACATTGTTTTCAACAACTTTTTCTCAAATACAAAAATTTAGACCCAATGGGAGACTCTTTATCAAAACCATCAAGGAGTTTATCTACTTGTTTGGAGGCTGTCACCACCTTAGAGAGCTGAAACAAATTAAACTAAATCTTTAAGAGAGGAATTCATGTCTCTTAGTCACTTACTGTATTCTCCATATGTAGCTCGGATCCGCAGAGCTGTGAGATTCCTCAGTAGCCTCCGATACTCAAAGTAACTCAGCTGGGGGCTCCAGTTACTGCTTGGATGTTCATTTAATCTGCGTGATTTAAGACCAATAGCTTAAAAACCCAATTCTTATCAAAAGTTGTAACTTGTATACCTGATACACTCTGCCTGAGAATGTGGGAACAGCTGAGCCCCTTTACTGACAGATAAAGTACTGGTTGCCACGTCTATGCAGGCACGAACTTGGAAGCTCTCTCAATCCCTGGGGAGCACAAACCCCACAGGGTGTGGTGGAGGGCATCCCGGGGTAGGAAGCTGAGTTCCAAGGGTCATGCCATCCAGTGCTGATCCAAGTCCTTAGAGATCACTTTCTAACTGCAGCCACGTAAAACCTAATATCAGAAATAATCTCTGAGCTCAAGAAGTTCTGATCCTCAAGAGCTACCATCCATTTTGGGTTCTGCTCTTTAAGCGATTTGTTATTTGAGCATGTTTCACTGACTCTTTCCAAAAGTCAGTTCTACCCTCTGCACTGTCCACATCTAATAATTCTTAATTTGACATCATAGTGCCTCACGTCATCACATCACCAGGCCTGTGATATTCTGTTATATTTGTTTTGTTTTTCACTAGAAAAGCTCTCCAAGGAACAGCGCTATTCCTTTTGTTTCATTCACTGGTTCATCAAACAAGCTTCCCGTACCCTTGGTTTGGGCCAGAAGCTGTATTAGGCTCTAGGATACAAAGACGACTAGGCTGAAGTGATCAGCGTCCAGCCAGCAGGGTTGGTGGGTAAACGAATAATTACACGGCACCGCTGTGAGTGCTACAGCTAATGCATGTACAGGATGCCACAGGAACCCACGGGATTCTGAGAAGGCTAACACAAAGGAAAGCTGAACCTCTAAGCTGAATCTCAAAGAGTAACTTCATGCTGAGAAGGTGGGAATGGTATTCCAGGTAGGGGGTGTGTATCCCTGGCCTAAGTTACACTTGGTTACTTAAGTACCCATTGCATGTGGGCTGTGGGTCTTCTATTCTCTACTCCCATTACCTCTGCCCTAGATTAGCTCCCACCAACCTCACTTGAACCACTGTGAATATGTCCTGATGGTCCAATTAAGGACCTTACCTGAACTATCCTCCACATGGTATTTGCACCCAGTCAGCATGATTCAGACCTGATCATGCCGCTTCACCTTCCAGTCTGTGCCTTTCCATCATATTGCAGGCATGGGCAAGATCTCAGCAACTTGATGTGACCTGCAAGGCCTGCCATGATGGGGCCTTTTCCACTTTTACAACCTTATCTGCCCACCTCCCTCACCCGCACTATGTTCCAGCCATCATTGTCTGTTGCCCATTCCCCCTGTATTGTACCTTTCCACATCCCCACATATACTCCCAGGTACAGGTTGTCCCCTGATTTTCTCCCTGGAAAGCCCTGTGCTTCTTCCTGTTCTCAGCCCCTGTTTCCTCCTCGGTGAAGCTTTCCCTGACTCCTCCAGGCCAAATTAGGCACTCTTCCCCCCCTCCTGAGATCCGATGAGTAGGCACCACCCCTGAAGTGATGACTGTACTGTATGGTGCCTGCTTTTTGACATGACGTGTATCCTACTGGACCATGAGCTCTCAGAGGGCAGAGACCATGTTTCTTCCTCTTGAGTTGTCATCCAGCCTCTACCACAGCACTGAGCGCACTTAGCAGACACAGCCCCCTCCCCCGACCTCTGCACCCACCATTCAAACTTCTACAGGATAACACGCACTCTCCTTGGACACACACAGGGCTGTCTGTGACTTCTTTCTCTGACCTCACTTCTCACTGTATTCCTTTCCCCCACTCGATGCACCAGTCATTCTAACTACCTGGAATTTCCTAAATGCACAAATCTTCCTCAAGCATGATATTTGCTCTGCCTTGTTAACCTTCCCCCCTTTTGTTTCTTTAATGCGCTGCTCTTCCCTTGCCCTGTCTTCTTGGTAAGCATTCCTCAGTCGCTCCAGTGTGGGTTAGCTGTGTCTCCCATGCGTGTTCCAAACACCTGTGTCTGTCCTGTCTTTCTCATCACTTACAAGCTGCATTGTTTATTTTGCTCTCTGTTTATTTTTCTTCCCCACCAGCCTGTTGGGGGCTTGAGGACAGTAATCATGTCCTGTCTCAGCACTTAACACCATGTCTGGTATGTAAACGGTGCTCACAGGAGCTTGTGGAATGAATGAATGATGATCGAGTGAATGAACAGAGGAACTGGGCTTCAATCACAGTTTGCTTTATTTGACCCCCTCATAGTCTCTCTTTTTACCTGAATGTGTAAGTCTTGGTGATCCCACAAGGCAGTGTCTTGCCAAGGGGCATCAAGGGAGCTGTGATCCGTAGACCAGCACCTTCCAGGGTCACATCGTGGGCAGATGGGTGTCTGCCTCCCCTGTCCACACGGTAGTCAAAGGACAGGCTTTGCCCATAGCTCACCTGTTGATTCCCAAGAAACTTGGCTATGAAATAGAATTTGAAAAGACTGAGATCAGTTGTGACACTGCAGAAGTAAACAATGAGTGAGTTTGCATTAATGTTAGCGATTTCTGTTGAAGTTCTATGTTATCAACCCATCACTTTGCCCCAAACCACCCTTCTTGAGAGCCAGTTCCTGGCCCTGGAAGTGGCCATTTGATTCTTGGCTACAAAGGAAGGTTAGTTATTGAAATGCTAAAAGGGCTCCATTATAAGACAACTCCATCTATTAGATGATTCATAGCAGGGCCCGTATGACCGACCAATGCGGAAAAATTCCAGCTATGTCGGCAGCAGTGCCATTTGCTATGTAATGCTCTATTGTTTGCAGACATCATCACATTTGATGGTAATAATTCCTGCAGGGAGGCATTGTTATTCCCATTTAACAGCTGAGAGAACTGAAATTTGCAAAGGTTCAGAGGACAACTTGCCCAGGAATCATACTTTAGCTAAGGATATAAACTAGGATTAGGATTCCAGCCAGCGCTTTCCCATCTGGCTTTTCTATACCACTGACTAATGTTTTTGTTTGTTTATTTTACTTACAAGTATTTAAAGCTTTAAGAAATGCCTTGTTTCTGCTTTTCCATCTGCTTCTCAATAGACCCACAGATTTGATTACTGTCCCTAATTTCCTGCCTTGGTGGAAAATCTAGAAACTTCCCATTTGAGTAAAGTAGCAACCAGGGTCTGACCACCTGGACACCCAGTTCTGCTCTATTGCACCATATCTTGGTGACTTCGAGGCATGCATCTTAAGTTCCAACCATCTTCTGGAGATACTGGCTCAGAACACTGAGTGATATGAACACATTTTCAAAGTCCATGTTTCTGTCCTGACTTCCTAGTCTTGAAAGTCGTCTTCTGTAGGAAAAATACATACATACCAGGAGCTACGAAATAGACAGGGTCTGACCGTCGTGCCGAGCTAAACACGTCCCGATGGCGCTGTGACCACTGGAGTTTTGCAGGAGACCCATTTCTTTGGACAGCCTTCCAGCCATCAACATCTGAAATACAAATAAAACTTTGCACTCGGGACAAAACTCATCATCTATTGAGTTAAGCGAGGCAATGCTTGCCAGAAAAACTGAGTAGTGAGTAGTAAGTAGGGTTTTTAAAAAAATATTTCCACATTAATGTACAGTCATCAAAATTCCCCATGCACCTCTCAATTTGGGTCTCAACTTTGCCCACTCCCACTCCACAGCTGTTTTGACTTCCTGTCTTTGAGCGTGACTCTTATAATAAAAGAGCACATGTTCATCTGCCTGTAATGATTGCATCTGCATAAACAGGGGATGGCTTAGTGAGGTGAGAGGGGCCAGTATGTTCAAGGAGAAACTCAAACTTAACAGTTGAAATGATATCAGTCTCCCATATTTTTATAGTTTGTAGCTAGGTAACTAATTTCACATACATTAACCCATTTCCTGTATGTGAAAGCAGTATCACCAGTGAATGTGAATTCCAGGAAGGCTCTCATAACCTCCCCAATTCAGATGAATAATTCTTTTGTAGTTTAAAAAGAGGGGGATGGGAAATGCAGGGTGATGAATATCCAGTCTCTTTTTAGTTATTTTTTAAAGTTATTCATAGGCTGGTATGAGTAAACCATTCAGCTGTAACTTTTGCAGGACCCTAGGGTCTGCCTTATGGCCCTGACAAAATAATGCACATTAAAAGCTACAAGAGTTATTAAAGATGACTTGAGGCTCCCACCCTGTGAATGGGGAGGTGGTTGTAAGCACAAAGCCCTGTACAATGTTAAAACCCAAGTCTTAGAAAACAGAACACTTTACCCTGAGAGAAGGTAGAGGTGATTCTGTGGACACTGTAGTCCCCAGAGCTGCGGCAGTTGGCAGAGTGCCCATAGCAGAAACACTGGGTACAGCCTTCAGGGTTACCTCCTTCCAGGTGATAGTAACCGGGGCGACACCTGCAGCAGCATTTTAGAAATCAGGATGATATTACAGGTTATTTCTTATTCCATATAAAGAATATGATGACTGATCTTTTTTTCTTTCTCTCTCACCCAGCCCTATTAATTCCCAGAAGTGGGATATACTAAGTGGCACCCTCAGTCTCAGAACACCTGGGGCGCAATCCCAGTCCCCCACTGAGAGAGCATCAGAAACATAGCGACTTTCCCATCCTGGGTGAGGAAGTGAGCAGAGGTTGCACAGGCAGGAGGGGGAGGGCTGGGCAGAGATAGGCAGCGCTGGCCCTGTCCTGGGACGAGGTTTCAAAGGGGACAGAGTGTGGGCAGTGGAGGCTTGGAAAGGAAAGGAAAATGCTGCAGCCCCAGCCCCAGCCCCTCTTCAGCTGCACTGTCCCTCCCACAAGACCACTAGGTGTTGCCCACCCTCCCTGCCACCTGTGTCCAGGCTCTGGCCCACTAGGGGAAGGGGCAGCAGAAGATATGCCAGAGAAAGACAGCTAGAGGCCCTCCACAGAAGCCAAGGGTAGGCTGGCGATCCACCTCTGCTTGCTCAGACTCCCCAGTGGCTTCTTGGAGGACCAGCTGCTAGACAAGTCCCAGATGCTGGGTCCCAGAGAGGAAAGGAGCTGGGGAGGACTTGCTTTTTTTCTCTGTTCAAGTTCACTACATCTTCTATGCGAAATACGGATAGTTCCAGTTATCATTTATTTAGTGCTGATGATATGCAGGCACGTTCTGTATGCTCTCTCATTTAATCCTCACCGCACCCCTATGAGATAGGATTGTTATTTCCAGTTTCCTTAGATAAAGAGACCAAGGTCAGAGAGGTTAAGAAACTTGTTCAAGGTCAAACAGCTGGTAAGTGGCCGAGGCAAGGTTCAAACTCAGGGATATCTGCCTCTAATCATAGAGTCTAATCCCTTGGATCGTATGTGAGGAGTATGTTCACTGGGCAAAGTCACAGAAAAGCAGGGTAGCTGTGAACAGTACACAGTAGTCCCCAGAACTGTGGCAACTGGCAGGGTACCCGTAGCAAAAACACTGGGTACTGTCTTTGGGGTTTCCTCCATCCAGGTGATAGTAACCGGGGCGACATTGCTTCCGAGAACAGCTGTAAATAAATAAGCATTGTGTTTTCCCTACAGAGCAAGGGTTTAGAAAATCATTATGGTTTCTGTGGAGGAAACCTGTAGATTAAAAGAGATTAAAAAGTGAGGAAGAAAAAAAGGAGGAAGGACAGAAGCAGGGAGGGAGGGAAGGAGGCGGCGGCACAGAAAGGGTGGCGGGGAGGGATGGGAGAGGGAAGGGAGGGGAGGAGACTAAAGAAGGTCAGGCAGCACCGGAGGATCATGTTTAGGGATGGACTTGGATAAGAAAGGATGAAGGAAAGCAGGGAAGTGCCTGCCAGAGAAGTCAGAATAGCAGTCACTTCTAGGAAGGAGGGAAGGTGTCGCCATTGGAATGGCACATTTTTCGCCAAGATCTATTTCATATAATGGGTGGTGCAGACAGCATTTGTTTTATGTGGCTTTCCATTTTTGTGTTACAATTTGAAATTAAAAAACATTTTTAAAAAGGGACTCCTCTTTTAACATTTAACCCCATCTCCCTGAAAAAGAAAACTAGGAATGTGCCTGGCATTTCCTCTGTCCAAAGGAATTGTCAAAACACCAAAGAGCTGCTTTCTGACTTCTAAGGCAATGAGGAAGAAGCCTTTACCTGTGGGCCCGATGTCCCATTCCTCTGCTCACAACAATCTCAGGGGAGGGAAAAGTGTTAAGCCTGAGCTGTTTGTACTTAAGAAATGTTCTGCAAGCTGCAACCAAGGATGGCTCACTCTTTATCGCACCACCCGCCCCAGCATGGCTCGGTGCCCAAAGGACTTGCTCACGCCTCTCTCCCCCAGTTCGTGTGCGTGCATGTAACCGCCATGCCAGCCTCGGGTGGTTCCTCTACTGCACATGACGGTTATATATGGCCATATGCTGCAATATTCCATCTCACTAGGATTTGCCCAACATGTTGAGTTAAGCCAGGCCTTTTCTGGGACAGCCGAGCCACGTGACCTCATTACTGCATTCCACCTTGTATCCAGAGCACCCGGGACTTGGAGCCAGCTGGCAAAGAGACTCCCTGGAGCCCTGTGCCTCTGCCACCATGTAAACGAAGGCAAAGGGCCCACAGCAGAAGCACGAGGAGTCCAGAGAGACTTGGAGGCTCAACTGTATTAAGAAAAAGCCTAGTTTTTGAGGACAGAGGGCAGGAAGAAAGTCATCAACACTGGTTTAAGTGACCCTTTTCCATAATTGCACTCCATTCTCATGCTAGTTGCCAAGGGACTGTCCCTGCCCTGTCAGTAGTCCCCCAGCTCACACAGACCTATCACAGCGCTCTCCGGTGACAGCTGGCTTGCAGACACAGTGGCCAGTGTCACAGGGCCCAGAGATGCCAGCTGGGTCACAGTCACACTTGGAGTCTCTAGAAAAGGAAAAAACAAGGAAATCAGGGGTGCGTTTCCAAATGCTTTGCAACTACACACATAAAGACGGAGCGCTCGTAAGCAAATGTCACAAACTTGAGTAAATCTTTCATCTTCAGTGAGGCCTCTCTTAGCCCTCCTTGTCCATGCTAACCTCTCTCAGACCCTTCAAGGACTCATTTGTCTACATCCATGCTCTTTAAAGTGTAGGGTCGGCAGGCGGAAGCTAGTCCATGAACTGTCTGTGACTTACCCCTAAAGAGAGGATGGGTTGCATACCAGAATGTGAACCACATTCATCACTAAACGGTTGCTTGTTGGGTTCAGCTGACATTTTTTTTTTAATTTATCATTTGTTTCTCTCTTGTTCAATTCAGTGATATCTTCTTTCACTATCTCTTTGCTATTTTAGTTTATTTTATTCTTTCTTTTGGTAACACTTCTGTTGAGGTGTAATTCACATACCACGCGATTCATCCAATTAGATTCTTGGAGTTGTAGAACCATCACCACAATCAATTTTAGAGCATTTTCATCACTCTAGAAACCCTGTGCCCTTTAGCAATCAGCCCCTGGTTCCCCCTCAGCCCTAGGCAACAGCTCATCTACTTTACGTCTTTATGGATTTGCCCATTCCGGACATTTCCCATAAATGCCATACATAAATGGCCTTGGATGTTTGGCTTCTTTCCCTTAGTATGTCTTCAAGGTTCATCCCACTACATACTTGTACTTCACTCTTTGTATGGCTGCATAAAATTTCATCATGTGGATATAGTACATTCTGTTTACCCATTCATCAGCTGAGGGACAATTGGGTTGTTTCCATTTTTTAGCCATTATGAATAATGCTGCTGTGAACTTTTGTGTACAAGTTTCTGTGCAGATATACATATTTTTATATATCTTTTGAGTATACACCTAGGAGTGGAATCTGAGTTTGACTGATTTTTTTTTTTTTGCTTGCAAGACTTTCTCAATGAAGGAATCAGCACTTTCATTACTTCATTTGGGCACAACCTCCTTGTCTTGGGCAGACCATGCTCTGACTAGTGACGAGTGCATGGTCTCTGACTAGTCAAAACACTGGCCTCTGTCACTCAGTTTGACACACGATCCTACGGATACACTTAATGCATCTAAAACCAAGTCTGTTGTCTCTCTCCTTGATCTACTTCTCCTCTGCCCTATAACCCCATGCAAATCCTACCCAGGCCTGGATTTAACTCCTCCCTCTCTCTCTCATATTCTTTATCCAATTAGGCTTCCAGAAGACTCTTTTCCCAGTGTTCACCTTTCAATCCAGATGGTTTTCTCCCATTTAAGTCCACTTATCCAGGCCATTTGATAAACATTATTTGACATCTACTGGTTACTAAGCACCATGGACACTAAGAAATGGGAAATAGCCCCCGTTCTTTAGGAGTCTCAAGGCAGGCAGATCAGTGAGCATTAGTGGCATAAAGCATCACGGGGGCTGTAGCCAAGCTGGCGCCCTCTCTGCGGCCTCTTCCTACTCTAGGCACCAGGGATACTGCAGAGAACAAGACAAAATCAACATGGGGCTTACATTCTAGTGGGAGAGACCCAAATAAATACATACAGAAAACAGGAGTTGAAGTAAAACTGAGTCAGAATGAGGAGGGGTGGGGACCGGTCAGGGGAGGCCTCTGCGGAGACGGCTGAGGTGGGGATGGAGCCCCGTGAAGGCCTGGGTGGTTGTGCGGGAAGGGAGCAGGCTCCAGGCCAGGGCTGAGGTCGCTTACTGGGGCCTCTGAGGAAGGGAAGGAAAGCTGGCGAGGCGGGAGTGCCGGGAGACGGGGTGAGTGGTGAGGAGTCAGCAGGCGCCTACTGTTGAGGGTGGAGCAGACGGGAGCATCTTGCAGGGCCCTCCGGGTCTGGAGGAGAAGGTTGGGTCTCATTCTGAGTGGGAAAAAAACTAACAGAAGGTTCTGAGTGAGAGGTGGTAGGATCTACTTCATGTTTTAAAAGGTTTAGAAAGGGAGATTGGGCCCAGGGAGGGTCTCTGAGAGAACCCGGGGCCAGGATAGCTGGGACAGCACAAGCATGGCTGGACGGTGGCTCTCCTGTGGGCAGGGGCGGGAAGGTAGGCACCAGCAGGTGATTCCTCTGTGGGTCACCTCCTAGCTGATGGCTTCACTGCTGAGCTCCCCCGAACTCCAGCCATCCCAACACCTGCCGGCCTGCTTATGTGATTTACCAGGTGTACTCTGTCCTCTTCCAAAAAAGGATTTGAGGAGGGATTAGAGGATGTGTCAAACTCAAGGGGATTAAAATTATACAGAGGAGTTCTTCAACTCCAAATTCCCAGGTCAGAGTTTGAAGGACTTTTAACCTCCATCCTAGGTCATCTAAATGGGGGCAACTGTCAGAGTAAAGAGCCCGGGTTCCAGAGCCCAAACTCTGGGCCCAAATATGAGGTCATCTTACCAGTAATGTTGGACTACTACTAAACCTCTTCTGATTTACATTTCTTACCTTTAACACGAATATAATGCTAATCTTTAGGGTTATTGTAAGGATTCAGTGAGATAGCCCATATGATGTCATCAAAACAGTGTCTGGCACACAGTAGGTGCTCAGTAAAGGTCCGTGGTCACTAGTGTTCATATAATTGTCATTGTTCACGGCAGAAGCAGTGGTCACGAGTGTAGGCACTTACAGCAGGCTTTGGTCTGGGATGCACCCAGCATCTGTGAGTGTGTGGAAGCCTGGAAGGCATCGGTCACACCTGTCTCCTGTCACACCTGTCTTACAGCTGCACTGTCCAGAGTCGTCACACCAACCACTCAGAGAACCTACAGCCAACAAGGCAGGGAAAGGGGCAGAAGAAAAAGACATATTTGATTTATACAGCCTTATGTCACCTTGTGGAGCTCAATACATGCTAAGCGATTACCACCACCTTCTGCCTGCAATTCTCTCATGTCATCTGGGTATTTGTCTGCCCACTCGGGACAGTTCTGACAGCCAAGGATGGCTTCTTCAGGGAAAGAAAGGAAACTACTCCTGAGAGCATTTTTATTTCTATATCTGCTCTGACGTCAACATCAAGTAGTGGCTAAGTCACTGCTTTTGAAAAGTAGTTGTCAAATCCTGCAGATCGAGGAAGGAAAATTTGTGAATGAGCACAGCACCCCTCTCCAAGAGGGAGTGAGGGGGTGAGCATGCCCTTGCTTGTTTCCGGCAGGTTAAAGCCATCTATAAAGGGGCAGTCCCTGGGGTGTGGGTTTTAGGAGCACAAACAGCCTCATAACCAGAAATCTCTCTAATTGCCCAAGTGGTAGAAATTCTCGTCCTTGGAGCATCACCTCCTGTGAGGAACGAAGGACCCGGGTGTCTGACCCAGCTTACTCACTAGAGTACTTGTCCTGCGGTGAACGCTCACAGACATGCCTTCCTTACAAAGAGGCCGTCTCTGATTGAGCGCTGATGAAAGACAAGAGGTGTCTGGGAAAACACGTGCTACCCTGTGATCCAGACAGTTCTTACCTCCTCCTGTTCAAGCCCCACCTTCTCGCACCTGGACCCCGACTCTCATTCTCCTCCCTGCCTCTGTCCGTGCCTCCCCACACTCCATGCTCTATACAGAAGCCAGAGCACTCTTTTAAAAGGGGAATTCCGTTCATATTACTCATCTGTTTAAAAGTCTTCGGGTGGCTTCCCACGAGAAGCAAAATAAAATGCAAACTCGGTATCCTGGCCGGCAAGACTCAGCCTCTCCAACCGCATCCCTTACCCTCCTTCATAAGCCGCAGCTCCCCCGCTCTCCTCCTGGCTCCTAAGATTTGCTAAACTGCTTCCCTCCGTGGGGCATTTGCATGTGCTGCTCCCTCAGCCTGCAATGCTTGTGCCCTGGAACTTCTAGTTGGCCCGTTCTCAGCACTCAGGTCTTGATTAAATATTCCTTCCCTAAAGAAATCTTCTGATTCCATACCTAAAATATCCATCCTACGGTTACTCCAGTCCTTGGCCCTGCTTATTTATGACGACCTCAGCTTATGCTCACTGCTGCACCCCCAGCTCAGCACAGCGCTCAGCACAAAGCAGATGCCCAGAAATCTGTTGGATTAATGCACATATGCCCAGAAAAGGACTGTGAAGAGACTTAGGAAGGAGACAAAAGGTGATCTGGAGGTGGCGGGAGGTATAACTCACCTCCTTTCTAACTGCCCGGCACTGGCAGACTTATAATGTATTATAACTATAGATCTCAACTAAATAATGTAATACAACCACATATCTCAACTAACTGAGATAATGGGGCTATCCATCATCTACAAGGCCAACAGAACACTAACCAGTTACTTCTCTTTTTCTAATCTGTTATCCTTCTGTGAACTTCTAATTCACTAGTAGATACAATTCCATAGGGTAGTGGATCTACTATCAATAGCAGATACAAATCAATATTGGCTCTGTGCCTATAGAAAGGTTCTTACGCCCCATGTAGAACATGAAATAAATGAGTCACAGTCATAGATAGAATCTGCAAGACTCCAGGTCAACTTTGCAAGGTTTGAAGGGGCCCTCGGTGATGATAGTATAAAGTACATTTTTTGAGCACCTACTGTGTGTGTGACACTATATATTTATATCTATGAGCCCATGCTATCTACTAGGGGATTTAAATCTGACAGATGGATAACAGATCCAACTGTGCATAACAGGGAACTACCAGCCTCGCAGTTTAGAAAGAAGCTCTAGAGCAATCTGCAGGTCGGCGCGGGGAGGGGAAGCCGGCAGGCTCTCCAGAAAGGTGCACTCCCAGGCCGTGAGGTGGTGGCCTGCATTAGAGGAGTCTGGGTGAGAAGGAGAGGAGGGGATCCCCGTGAGAGCCACTGCGAGTGTGGGGCGAACAGGCTCCTGGGAAACGGTTGCTGGGGGGCGGGGATCCCCCGGATGGCACGAGGTCCCCCGGGGAAAGCTGGATGGAATGTGATGCTATTCAACAAAGAGGAGGGAAAAGGAGGAGCAGGGTTTCGGGATGAATCACCAAGTAATGAGTTAAGTTTGGGACATGGCGAACTTGAGTTTCTGGTAGCATATTAGGGTGGAAATGTGCATCTGGAGCTCACGTGAGAGGCTGGAGATGAAGATGTAGGAGCCCTCAGCACACAGGCTGTCCTGGGAGCCTCAGCAGGTGTAGGTCTCTCCAGAGCCCGTAGAGAGAGGAGGGGAAAGTGCCTCTGGCAGAAATGGAACCCCGCTAACTCAGGGACCTTCCTTAATCAGAGGGAGGTAAATCCCAGGACAGTGGAAGCCAAGCGAGGCGAGTTCTGAGGACGGCTAAGGAAGGAGGAGGGCGGGATGGTTTTCAGGATCTAAGGCAGGCGAGCATTTAACGAGACGAGACCGCCACCCCCACTGCTCTACCAACAGTCAGCAAACAGAGCAAAGAAGGACATCTCCTTTCTGAATCACGCTCAGATAAGTGACATAAAGGAGGAGAGATCTCTCTTTAATACAATCTAGTTGTTTTTAGCACAAATGGGCATTGATCTGGGACTCAGAAAAGCATCTATTTTCCCCCTCAAATTAATGGATTATGCTTTTGATTTAAGAAAATGCTTCCTACAGTAGTTTTTCAGAAGTGAATTATTCTTATAAGATGGAGAAGACTGTAATTTGCTTTCGGGTCCGGCCCATATAGCCCAAAATGGCACCCTACAAAACATGTTTCTGAGGGGTGTTAACAGTCATCTCAAGAAAATAGGCATTCTTTGTTCAAAAGAGTTTGGGAAATGGTACATATTTTATCTTACAAAGATTAATGGCTTAATAGTACATTCAGTAGGCATGAAGTTTGTTTAACTTCTTAATGCCAGTGTTTCCAAACATTATATGACATTCTTACAGGCAAGGCCTATTATTATCTTGCAGAACATGGTGTTACATAAGTCATTATCTAGGAAATTCTGCTGTAGATGCTGGGGGTCATGAAAAGAGCCCAGGCTTTGAAGTCCAACAGATCTCACTTCAAATACCAGCTCTGCCACTTACCAGCTATGTGTTCTTGGGCAAACTGCTTACTCATCATGTCTTTTAAGTGGGGATAACAACCTATACCCTGTACAGCTATTGTAAGACTTTGTGCCTAATTCAGTGTCTCATGCATAGTAGGTGACAAGGAGACGTACACAGGCTCTTACTATGAACATGACTAATTTATCTCATGTTCCAAAACTTCCAAAATAATGGCACTGGGTTTTCAAAGTATCTCATTAACATAAAAATGTCTGTCCCAATTCCAAATAATGAGCTACTCTTAGGGATTATGAACAACTTAGTTTCAGGGACTGACAAGGATCGGCTTCCTGTGTCAAGTTCATGTTCCAATAAGCCCTTCAAGGCCATGTGTTACAGTCTACATGCAGAGGACTCAGGAAGGTATTCTAAAATGATTAATATTTGACATTTAAACGAAGAGAATATACCTCTTCTCAAGAACCCCTTTAACAATATATGTATACTTGCATTTTAAAATATTATTATTTAAGAAGTATATTCAATAATAATTAAATTACTATTTAAGACATGTTTTAAATAGCTCAAATGTTATGAACTGAGGAATCCATTGTCAGAGTCATTGATAGGTAAAAAAAAAATTACATTATGAGAATAAGTCCAATATCTTTGATGTCCATGTAGATCTCAAGAATTTAGGTGCCATGGGAGGAAAGAACTCACGTGCACACAGAGTGAATTTCAAAGCATCCACCAAAGGTTACCAGAGCTTATACGTGTGGTACCAAGAGTTGAAGCTAACTCAGTCCTGCTGCTGAGCCCATAAGCCATCACCTAAAAATAAGCCTAGTTACTGTATTTGTGAGAAATTGATGTGAAGTCCAAAATCTGTGACCACTTTGGAGATCATTAATGCTGTTAGCTTCATTTGTCATCCATGGAATGATAGCATTTTCTAGTAAGATGCACACTTCTGCATTTGAAATTGAATATACAACAAATGCCTTTGTGAAGTTTATTATTTGAAAGTGAAAAATATCCTCTGGCTGATTGAGAGACTGCAAAATCACATAGGAATCCAACTTGTGCCTCTGGGTTAGTGATCTGTGTGGCCAACGTGTAGTCAGACATGGCACATGGCAGGAGGGGCCCCTGCTACCAACAGACCACTCAGCCTGGGCAGCTCAGACCCTGGGGCTTCATTTTCCTCTTCTCTCTAAGGGTGGTGGAACATGTTAATACATGCAGGTTGCCAAGCTGTTAGAGAACTGAAGACGACATAGTATATGGAAGAATTCTGGGGAAGCACAAAGCATTACCCAGATGTTAGGAAATAATGTCCATGAAGTTTCTCTTGGATATCTAACTATATGCCCCTGAGAATAAAAGGACACCATTCTGATATTTTTTTTTCTTTCACAAGGAGGGAATAGAAGGGAACAACTTTCCCTCAAAATATCTGGATTGCAAGTTTAGCTCTTGGAAACACTTGTTGGGAGACTTGAGGCCATTCATTACCATGTCTACTTTCTCCACTGTTAAAAAATATTTGAAAAATTCACTGTCAATTTCAGGATGTCAATAATAAATTAAATGTTAATAAGTAGTTTTAGACCAAATACTCAGCCTCTACAAGGCTTCTTTCTAAGCCGGAATGTAATTTTTTTTAAAGCCAGTGCTTCAGGACAGTGGAACCCTGACCTCTGTCCTAAGAAAAAAAATAACTACATCAACTACAATTTACTGAATTGTCTACCATGTGCTTAACACACCTCATTTTATCTTCCCACAATCCTGTGATGTTAATAGCATGATCACCCTTTTACAGATGAGGACACCCGGGCAGCGAGAGGTTAAGGAACATGTCCAGAGTGACACAACGGTAGTGGTTCTATCAAGATTTGAACTCAGGCCTTCTGGCTCCAAAGCCCACTGCTCTATTCTATGCTATGATCTTTGATGCCAGCACATCTGGGGCTGGAACCGTTGCTCTGCCACATAGCTCCATAACCTTGGACAAGTTTCTCCACTCCCGCTCTAGGCCTCTCTTTCCTCCTTTGTAAAATGGAACGGTAATAGCACCCCCTTCATAGGGTTATTTGTAGAGATTGAATCGGTTACTGGAGGAAAGCATCTAGAAAAGTTCCTGGCACAGAGTAAGTATGTAATGCATGTTAGCTATCCCACAGGATATAAATCATCACCGGGCTCCCCACTTCCTACCAGGATGTTCCCGGTGAGTCTGGGATATCTATTCCCCCAAAGAAAAGAAAAAACCAGGCTCGTTGTTGCTGGGCAAGCAATGGAGACTAAGCAGGAAAAAGAAGAGACAGCATGGCAAAGCCTCCATTATCATCTCTGTTTGCTACAAATCAGACTCCTTGTCTATTTTGAGGCTTAAAACCTAGTCTTCAGGCAGACTTGCTAGCTCAGCCAGTTAGATTTCTAGTTACATTCTCACCGGTCATTTCGCTGGGATGACCCAACTCCAGTGACTCACAGTGAAGCTGCATGACCTAAGGGGATATTGGCTCTTCAGGGAAAAATGCCCATTAAAATGGAATAATTCTTCTTTATGAAGTTCATGGATTTATAGGGACAAATATTAAATCCAAAAGATTCTGGATGCTGATTCTACGCCACAAAGCTGAGCAAGTCTGACTCAAACCTCATTGTAAGAGCAACTTGTGAACTCAGGAGTGATTGCTGGGTTATGGGTCTAGATCACCACGGGGTCACCCCAAGTTTTCTATAAGCCTTCCCAGCACATGCTACCAGCAATGCACGGCTTGACCAAAATCTGCCTGTTTTTAGATTCTTTCAGCCACTGCTACACGGACATAACTTTAGGTGGATTAAGAGTCATCATATTATTCTATTAAACAATTTCTAGCAAAGAGGGGAAATGGAGGCTGCCAAGAAAGATAATAAACAAATAGGTAGTTTAAAAAAAAAAACAACTCAGCATACTTCATAGAAATACTTGTCTCTCCCTGGTTCCTACAAACCAGTCTTAAGAAAAACATATTTCCTTGAAAGACCAGCGTCTAGTAGATTCCCAGTTGTTCAGGAAGCTGAACGCCCTCTCTTGGCCCGCCTGCCTCTCCTCCTCCCTTTCTTCCCTGCCTCCCTCCCCCTCCTCTCCCTTTTGGCCAACTACCTTTGGTGTTACAGTTGCAGGGTAGGCAGCGGTCTCTCTCTCTCTGCCGGTAAAACCCCTCCTGGCACCTCTCACAGCGAGTGCCATCAGTGTTGTCCTTGCAGCCGAGGCAGCGGAATCCATTTCCTGTCTGTCTGAGAAGTTCCTGATCAAAGATGCATTGCTCGGACTTCCCATTGCAATCACAGACTGGGGATCAGGTGAGAAAGGCTCCGTTAGTAAAAAACTCAAAGCCCATTCTCCCAGGTGTTGTATTAGCATTCATACACATTTGCATGGGGTACTACACATTAATTCCAACCACTGGAGCCAGGTGAGGGTGAAATGGGCGTGAGAACTGTGAGGGTCCTTGTCCCACCTAAAGGAAGGAGCAGCTCCACAGTGCTGGTGGCAATGCTCAGGGAGAACATAAGTTCAGGGTTGCTCAACTGTCCAATTCCTCAAGAGGAACCAAAAATTGTATATTACATGTTCTTATGTGAAAATTCCTGGCTTGAATATCTGCAAGAAATTTATTTTTAAAACCCTGTGCAACCCCACGGAACAAGTGTAAGGGCTGGAGGAGATCTGGATTGCCAGCGTATGCACTCCGGCACAGCTTCTGGCAGCTGATGGGTATCTATTCAAAATATGCAACATCTGTCCTTCCCGGGATGGTCAAGGCTGAGGAGCTAATAAGACTGTCTGGAGAGGCATCTCCCACCCACATACGCACACACTGTGCCTTGAGCGGAGTGCCCTTCCCAAAGCCAGGGGTCAAAGGGAACCACAGTCCCATGAGGAATCACCTTTCCCCAGCATCTAGGAAAGTTCACCCTGTGGGTGTTCCAAAGAGTCTCATGAAGTGACAGCCCCTTGCGGGACCTAAACAGCCACCGAGGTGACATGTGGAAATACTTAGCAGAGAACCGGGACTACCGCAGACCCTCCAAAGACGTTTCAGCTGCAGCTGAGAGGAGAAAGCTGATGGGCCTTCAAGCTGGAAGAATTGGATGCAATACCAGTTCTGCTCTTTTCTTGGGCAAATCCCTTCACTCTCTGATTGTTGGTTCTTCTCTTAAAAATGTAGAAGGCATTCTCTGCCTCCCTGGATTGTTGAAAGGATCCCACTGAGAAAAGATTATCAAGTCTTCCAGAGAGGCTATCTCACCCCTCACTCGTATGATCTAGGCATTGCCTCGGATGGGAAAAACGCAGCTCAGAGGTTAAATACCTGACCCAGGGGAGAGCTGGGCTTTGAACCTCTGATGCCAAAGCCCACCATCCTTCCTCCAGGCACACGGCCTCCACTGTCCACATGGCCTCAGTGAAAGCCTGTGTCTAAAAGAGCCTAGGGCCATGATTTACCCGGAGTATTGATTTTTTTTAAAATCAAAATGCATGTCAGCACTTACTGTACTGAGCAGCTGCCCTGTCCAGGGTGCGTCAGGCTCTGAAGGCACAGAGGTGACTGAGTAAGTCTGATGAGCTTCCTTACAGCCGTTCCTGAAAGTCACTTCTTGCTATTTTGATACCGTCTGATCACAGGAGAGTCAGCTAACCCTATTCAGAGCCCACTCTATTTCCAGGACTTCTCATACTTCAGCTCAGTTAATTCTCACAATAATACTTGAACATGGCTTTATCATCCCCACTGAATGGATGAAGAAACTAATGCTTAGAGGTAGTAGATTTCTCCCTTAAAATCATACAACTAAATGGCGAAGATGTAATTTGCTCTCCAGCCTATCCAATAACAAAGCCCTTTTCCTTTAACCCCTGTTCTCAAGTCTCGTCTACCACTGCATGCAGGCATTTTTTCTATAAATCCCTCATAGAGGGTTGTTCAGCCCCTTCTCAAATCCTTCCTAATCTAGAACAATGCCCTGTCCCTCCTTAGACAGCACTGGTTGTTATAAATTACTTTGCATGGGGTTTTCAATCTGCCTCCCTTCTTGTAATTTCTACCCTCCGTTCTTGTTCTTCCCTAGCAAATGACATGCATACGCACACACCGCTACTCTCTTCCTCGCTTATTCATTTATCAGATATTCATTCCAGACATTGTTTCACGAGGCATGCATCAGCCAAGCCCTGGACCACCTGCAGATAGCTGTGACATCTCCCTCCTCAGTCTCCTCTCGGGTCCCACAGGAGACCTGTTGCCTCCAGGACTTTCAACCATTTCCCATGCCATGATTTCTAGATTCTTCCTGACTACCCTCCTAAGAACAAAGTCTAATTTTCAGTATCTTTCTTTAAATGACCAGTATTTATTATGGCACTTCAAGTGTGGTTTGAACAGCTCAGTTCACAACAGGACTAGACATAATTCCACGGATGCAGCCTAACATTTCATTAAACTTAAAACATATTAAGTGTGCACTCAATTCAAACCCCCAGGGCTTTTTTTTAACAGAACTGGTGCCAAGCCAAATCTTTCCCAACAAATGCTTGTGTAACTGATTTTTTTGGCTCCCGAGCAGCTGTGCCACACAGCTATCACGTGCTGTGAAATTTCTACCAAGCACATCATGAGGCACATACAAGAGCTAGCCTTCGATCTTGTGAGGTTGCCCGGCTAGATCACACGGTAAGCCCATGCCTTTTCCACTCTGGATGCCTTTCGAGAGCAATGTCAAACCAATTACAAAATTTTTATTGTGCCTTCCGTATTCAGAACAAACTTTTTGCTGATGATGGTTAACTTCTAAAGGATAGCTCGTGATAGATTTATTTAGAGCAGTCTTAAAAATAGACAACCCTGTTATCATCTTTCTTGTAGACCTCCTCTCTTTCTGTCCTTTCTCCTGTAAACTCTACTCTGAGAGAACTGTGTTCTTTAAATTCACAGCCTGTCCTCGAGATGCATTGCACTTCTGCAAGGGAGGTCTTCAGCCAGCGTCTCTACTATGGAATTTGCCCAACAGGTTACAGACCTATTGCCAAACTACCCTCTTCTCTCTCAAATGAGTTTCCATTAAAGCCCAGGGCTAGGCTGACTGGGGGAAGGGGTGGAGGGGCCTCCTGTGTCTGCCTTACTTGGGAACTCTGTGAAGACACACTCCAGCCTTGCCTGCAGGACTTCGAAATTACCAAGCTGCACTGGGCTCGACACTTGAGTGCACGGCACTTAGCTCAATATCCAGTCTTCTGAACATTTGCACCCAGAGAATGAGGGCAGATAGTTTGCTCCTTTTGCATAGAATTACCCTTTTTGTCGTTGATGCATTTGAAATGTGGTCTTTCTCAAATCATCTTCCAAGTTTAGATTAAATTCCCTAAAACCAATTATTACTCATTCTCACTACTGGAAAACAGTCTTTATTATAAAATTTCAGAATATTCCTGCAACCAGACTTATTAAATGGGCCTCGTACAGCTTGTGCCTGGTCTTTTTTATTCTGTGGCCAATTCTGTCCAACCACTACCATGGACACACTGGCTGCCAAAAGGCACTGCCAGACTAGGAATAAGAAAATAGGGAGCAGTGGGGACTCTACCAAATGGGCTAAAGGGAGAAACAGCCCTTCACCCCTCCCTGGCCAACTGTAGTCATGTGAGAATTATGGAGGTCTACTATAGTCAGCATTTCCACTTACGTTTTTAAAGCAGACAGAAATCTGGCTTTGTATATAAAATCTACAGATTTTTTAAATGTTGGCAATTATCTAAACATTTTTAAATCAAACAAAATTATTTTTGAAATAAAGTTGTGTCTCTGGCAAGTCTTTGCACTTGACTCTGCTCTTCAAACAGAAAGAAAGCATATCTCATGCTTTAGAAAAAGGAAAAATGAAGCCATAGTCTATGGCACAGCACCTGGCCCATCATGGGTACTTAATGTTTTTTAATGAACAGATACTGAATCTTCTCTTGAACTTCAGGAAACCCCTAGGTGTATTTCTACCATTTAAAGGACTTCACGGGTCCCCACATGTCTAGACATGACCTAAAAATACAAATACCAAGATATAGCAGTCAGGCTCTTTCCTCTTCCTTGAGGGGTTCCTTTTTTCTACAAAAGCCCCATCCAGAAAACAGCGTTTCTTGGTAACTTGCAGTACAATGATTTATTTAGATGCACAAACCTAAATACAAGCCTATAACACATTTTAAAGCAAGAGGAAATACTAAAAAAAAAAATTTGTTATGCTTTCTTTCATTTATATTTGGCCTTTGTCAAGTTTTCATCTAGAATTTTGTCCATTTTTATTTTGTAATCTCTTTGCTATTCTTCCAAATTTGGGGCCAGCTGCAAATTTCATAAATACGCTGTCTAGTAAGCAAGTGACAGAACTGTAAAGATGGGGGTCTTGGACACTTCCCAGGTCAACTGAGAACCATTTATCAAAGTGCATTCACGCATCTTGTCATTCAACAAATCTATATTGGGCATGTACTATGTGCCAGGCCCTGTTCTAGGCACTGGGGATACAGTGATAAACAAAACCAATAGATATCCCAGCCCTCATGAGGTTTTCATGTGAGTTGGAGGAAAAGAAAATAAACAAGATAAGCAATAGAAAGAGAATATTGGGATAGTAATTTCATTATGGAGAAATACGTAAAGCAGTGATGGGAAATAGGAAGTTAGGAGGCAGGTAAATTGGGGAGGAAGGGAAGGTGGAAAAGTGCCATATGCTGGTTTACTATTTTATTTTGATTTTGATTCTGGTTTATTCATGAGTTTTGTCCATTTATCGATTGGGTATGATGTTTCTCTTTAAATTATCATGAATTATTATATAACAACTGTATCAGACTTTTCACCTGTTACTCTGGGATAGATTTTCTTATACCCTTCCTGATCAATCCCCTTTCTCTTCAAAATACCTCAGTGCTAGATTGCTTTCCTGATTCTTACTCCTTTTTCCCTGTCCTTCTGTCCTTAGTCAGTGAGATGTCCATTTATTTCATTCATTGAATAAATTCCACTTCACACCTAAAGGGTGTGGCACCAGTGCTTGGACAACGGGACCTCATGGGCCAGCAAGATTTCAAAAGAGGCAGCTGCCGGGGTCTTATTTTGTTGAAAAAGACAATAGGTATATATGCATTTAATATATATTGGGCTTTGTCAAGCACCCTCACATTATCCAGGTTTTCCTCATTTCACCATGCACAGGTGTGGTCTGGGACCCAGAATTAAGATTTCATTGCAACAAAAAAATACAGAAAAAATGAGACTTGGACCCTGAACAGGCTTA